GGCCTAATGCGCTCATCCTGCAGGCCGCTGCAGTCTGTCCCGATTAAGTTGGGGGGGGGGGGGGGGGGACAAGGGGGTACGGGAGAGATGGGGGGGGGGGGGGGTTGAGCTGCAGCAAGTCGGAAGAATAGACTTATCAGAAAATAATGTGCAACAAGTACATGTATACCTGGGCTTGGTACAGCTTTAACACCTACACTCAACTCAAAAAGAATGACCAATTTAAAAGAATTCTGGTTGTTATTTTGTTTTCTCGAAAATATATGAATATTTCAGTTATGCTAATTTAACTCTGCCCCCAATATGTAGCTTGATGGGTGCATTAGGCCACATGTCCCTAGCAAAGTCCATGATGAGAAAGCAGCATCATTGACATCTTTGGATGCATCACTCTTCTCGTGCTAGACTGGTTCCCCCCCTTTCCCCCAAAAATGGGGACAGGCATAGCTATAGTTCCCATTTAAAACCATTGATTGGATCACCATGGCATTGTTAGTGTTGTGCATGGATGACGTTTGAACACATGGCTTAAAAAAAACTGACTGTTTATATAACCAGGAGGCAAAATCTCCAGTCTCTCCAGGCAATTCAGGCATTTGAATCATGAAAAGTAGTGCCCCTCTTTTTATTGATAGTTGCTGAGACACTTTTGAATTCAGCGAAAATCTTTTCTTTCTTCAATGAAAATCCTGTATTTTGCTGATTTACGTGAAGATCGTAGCCTCATGGATCTACCTACCCAATAGGCACCCTGCATTCTGTTTCATTGGTCACTGTTCAAAAAGATACCCAATGTCCGATCTTCTATAGTGATCTTTAGGTACAGGGTGACTGTAACTTTAGTCGTTAGTTAAGCTTATGGCAAAATTTTGCGAGATGCACGAAATTATTACAAGAAATATTATAAACCCTAATACTCACACGTGGAGATGTTAAAAAATCATTAAAAAAAATTTAAGAAAAAAATAGATTTTTTTTTTGTATGTTTGCATGTGTCTTGCATGGCTAGCAATGATCTAAATTACTTACTGTGTTCTAGTAGATCAGGTCAGGCATCTCAAAAAACCCAAATTAATTTAAACTGATCAGCAATATTTTTTTTCAAATCTGCCCTATTTTTCAGTCAGATCAACAATTTTCAGAATTCTGCTAGAAATACGGCGATGTTTTCTGTCAAACTTGTTTTTTTTAATGAAAAATTCTGTCAAATTTAGCTGATATTCAGCAAAAACGGTCACCCTGTGAACATGTGTTTCTGACCAAAGATCCTATAGTGTCGTAGGTACTATATCGTCACCGTCACCACGAAGTGACACTTACCTCGAAAAATCGATATTTTGCGATTTCAATTTTTTCCTGATTTGTGATTAATTACACATAATCTATCACCTCAAGAAGTTACCAAGCACATAGTTAATTAGTTTTGTGAAAACATTAATTAACATTAATTAACATTTGCAACTTAATGAGTCAAAACCGGAAAATGCGTTTTCACGAAGTGTACTATACCATTCTTTCGCGTGTAAAGTGCCTGCATCCTACGCGTCAAAAACGGGTTTTGCGTTTTTACGAAGTGACACAAATGTCACGTGATACGCGCGCCTCACTTCTGGCGTTTTCACGATAGTAGCGCTAACCCATAAGCTAATACACGGGGTGTCACTTTGTGAAAACGTGAACACAGCGTAATCTGAATTTTGAGTTTTCACGAAGTGACGTTATGGTTAATTAGTTTGATAACTCATTAATAGTAATTAATTTCAATGAAAATCATACATTAACGTGACATTCAAGATCCCAGTTTTCAGACAATGTAAAAGTATATGTATTTTAAGGCTAAAACGATGTTCAGACCACCGTTTCAAAACATCGCCAACTTAAATCGCTTGTATCTCAAAACACACATTTTCCACTTCGCGGGGGTTAAGGTCACTTCGTGGTGTCGGTGATGATACATAGGAGGATTTATGGTTCTGACTCCTTAATTGGTTCTCATGATTTTTGTATTACAGGGCTTAGTGGCATGTTCAAGTAGATACATAAGCCACAAGCACATTTAAAAATTTGGGTTTTTTTCGGAAAAACCGGAATTAGTACTGAAATTAATGGCAAAATATATAATACACTCATCAGTTCCACAATGTTCTCACAGTTACGCTCTGATATTGTCAGCGTTAAGCCTCATAAACCTTCTTTGTGGAACAAATGGTGAGAATCATCAGTTTAAACTGTTAATTTGGTCAGCATTGGCAAAAACTAATCTTGTCAAGGTAGCAACGTTTGCGTAAAAATAATGATTTTAGCTGTTACCGTGCAGATACGAATATTTAACTGTATGCTAATTTGACTCCGCCCCTGTGTGTAGCTTTGTTATTGTGGACTTTGCCTGGTATATGTGCAGTGTGCATACATGTGGCTTAATTTATGCGCTCATCCTGCAGTAGTCTGTCCAAAGTTAGGGGGGGGGGGAGGACAAGGTTTACTTAGTGAATGCCAACCTGAGGTAAAAACCTGCATTCTTTGCTGGTGATGTCTTGTAAATCTACGACTGCAAAAAAAAAAAAACGTGCCATCCGCAGATCACCTCATTTTTTCCTGTATTCATCTCTTCATTTCATCATCTTTTTAAAAAGATTTTCTCCTTCGTCAATGAAAATCCTGCTCGTTTTTTACAATATCCAAATTACATGAAGATCCTTAGCTTCACATGTGTCTACCTACCCGATGCATGCTAGGGGCACCCCACATAATGAGGTCATCATGTTTCTTAGGTCACTGTACAAAAAGTTATCAATATATCTGATCTTCCTCTGAAAAAGAGTTTTGGATCTTCTCCATTTGTATCACCTCTCAAATCTTTGCAATATTTTTAGGATTTCTTTGTCTAGGGCTTAATGTGGTACACTCAAATCGAAGTGTTTCCACGTCCATCCCATCCAAAAATTTTCATAATTCGTATAAAATTGAAGACTAATTTGCATCAAAACAAATAATATTCATCAGTTCCACTTTGTTATCACAGTTGTGCTCTGATATTGTCAGTCTTATGTGTCTCAAAACCCTTCTTTATTTAATGAATTATACGAATCATCACTTCATACTGTAAATTTTGTTCAGCAGTGGTGAAACTAATCCAGTCAAGATAGCAACATTGCGTAAAAACAATCATTTTAGCTGTTACCATGCAGATGTGAATATTTATCAGTATGCTAATTTGGCTCCGCCCCCATATGCAGCTTTGTTATTGTTGACTTTTGCCAGGTACATGTGCAATGTGCATGTAAATGTACACGTGGCCTTATAATATTCGCTCATCCCGCGGCCGCTGCAGTCTGTTCCAAGTTAGGGGCTGGGGGGGGGGGGGGGGGGGGACGGGGGATAGGGGGAGTTTGACCTGCAGCAAGGTGGAAGAACTTACTTATCAGAAAATAATGTGTAATAAGTACCTGGGCTTGATACAGCTTTACCGCCTATACTCAACCCAAAAAGAATGCCCCCCCCCCCAACTCTTTTGGGGTTTTGGGTATACGTAGTGAATGTAGTCCAGTTCTTTATCTACGCTCCTCCAAATTTTGACTCTGCCATCTTCCAGCACGAGGTAAAACCAGCACTCGTCGCTGGTGATGTCTTGTAAATCTTCGACCACAAAAAAAGGCCACACGTGTGATTACGCAGAACACCTTGTATATATCTTTTATTTGTCATCTCTTCATTTCGTCATCTTTTTAAACGTTTTAGAGAATTACATGAAGATCTGTGTCCTCACATAAGTAGCCCAATCTAATGAGGTAATCGTGTTTCATAGTCCCGCTCTACATAAAAAGATGTGCCCAATCTTCCCCCATATATGATCAGCTGGCTCATTGTCTCATCTCTCGATATGATCCAAGTTCCTGTCTTTTGGATTTCTTTGTTTAGGGCTTAGTGGAGTACTCCAACAGAAGTATTTCTACCAGCCCCTCTAAAAATTGGTCATAAATCACATTAATCGTAAAGAATGATGGTGGCAAAATAAACAGTATTCATTAGTTCCACACTGTTATCACAGTTGTGCTTTGATATTGTCAGTGTTTTGTCTCAAAATCCTTCTTTATTTAATGAATTATGGGGATCATCCGTTTATACTGTTAATTTTGGTCAGCATTTGTGAAAAGTAAACCAGTCAAGATAGCAACATTGCGTAAAATTCATCATTTTAGCAGTTACCATGAAGATGTGAATATTTAACTGTATGCTAATTTGACCCCGCCCCCATATGCAGCTTTCTTATTACATGTATGGACTTTGCTTTTGTACATGTGGTGCTGTCTAATGTGATCATGTCTTTTTGTTTATGGGGGAGGGGGTGGGGTATTCTCTGCCCTTGTTAATATCTTTTGCAATTTGTTGTTAAGGGCATAATGGTGTGCATAAATACATGTAATTCACCAGCCCACTAAAAAATCATCTACATTGTACATTCCACTTTCAAGTTGAAGCACAATATTTAAATTAAAGAGAGAGAGATCTTGCGAAGTTGTTAGATCCTTATTAAAATTTGCTAAACGGTATTCACATCTCAATAAAAGCATCACATCACTTTTAAATTGCTTCATATATTGTATATATCATCAAGACATCAACCTTTATTTAAAGATCATCATTTTAGCTTTTGCCATGCAGATATTTAGTTTTAGATGAATATTTACTTTTATGCTAATTTGGCTCCACCCCCTTATCCAGCTTGCTATATGGGCTGTGCTTGTTTATCACTGAGCCAAATTTAGTGAATAGCATGCTCATTGAGATTTGACTATCACTTGAGATACTTTATAAAAACTGAATCTCATCCGTAACAGTTTTGAGGAAATGTTTAAAGGTCATGCATATTCAATTTTATGTAAATGTATTCGCCCACTGTGGTTTCAAGGGATGCTAGCTAAACTTCCCAGTCTTACAGTTAATTTTACTAATTTTTTTAAGTTGAGTTTTCAAGTATTTTGCATTCTCTTATGTTTCAGGCATCAAATGATGGTCTTATTTATCTGGACTTGAAATGGAACGGAATTCGAGGAAAAGGTGTCATAGCTATCGCCAATGCTCTTAAGGTATGTTGGAAAAAGTATGAAGTTTAAAAGTCGTCATTTGTGTAGTTATGGCCCTTTTCCTATACTCGAGAGAAAAATCCACTTTGAACTTACCAACTTGTTAGCTGTGTTTAAAACCAACAAGAGAGTCGTGGATAGAGGGCAAGGTTTTGATTATTTAGTTTACGGAAATTTGAGGGTAACACAATGAGGAAAACGACAAAATGCAACACGAAAATAAAGATGGTGATCACCACGACGTACTGTGAATAAGTTCAAAACCGCACTGATTCGCATGGCATCAACTGTAAAATGTGCAAGAAAATCACATTTTCTATAGCAATATGTTGTTTATAATTTTACATAGTTTATACAATTTTACAAAAAAATATTATCATTAGGAATTTATAGAAGTTTGCTTTAGGTTGCTGAAGTCATTTTGGAATGATGAAAAACACTCTTGACTCCAACTTGACCAAACCTAAAGAGGGGCTGTAAAAACTACAAAATTGCCAGTTATGGTATAAAGACTATAATGGATTGTGCTTTTTAAGGTGGACCATGTGCTCACTCTGTCAGACCACTTTTGAGGTCTAGAGACACCCTGGCTGGTGCTAAGTAAGCATAAATAATTTAATCTAAATCTGCTAAAACGTGTGTCAGGCACTGTCGACAATGTGTCCAAGCCCTCAATGTGATCTCCCCAAACTCTCGGTTCATAAATGTTGAGGGGCACTTTTTGATTCACAAGAGTCCGTAGTGGACATATTTGACGGATGATCAAATCTTTTGAACCAACTTGACCGCTCTGAAATTTATTTTCTTTTTTTCTTCTTCATTTTTGAAATAAATATGACGTTTCCCAGGTAAATACGGCCCTAGAGGTTCTGGATTTGTCTCAGAATGGTGTCACCCTACCAGGCTGCACAGCATTCCTACAAGCATTGAAGGCCAACACGGGACTCAGGGTACTAGACTTGAGGTTAGATATAAAAACAAGAAAAACAAATTCATTTATTTTGAAAACTGTTATGCTAACATATGCAGAAGATTTTCTGTAATACTTTTTAACCCCCCCAAAAAAAAACAAAAAAAAAATTGGCAATATTATTTTTAGTTTTAGCATAAACATAACAAACATTGTCAATTGTGGTGTTTCGACAATTTGGTTTGTCACTGACTGTCTGAATTTTTTTTATGAACAAATTGAAACTAAATTCAACTCAAATTTTTAACTTTCCAATTTCAGCACTTCAAATGACAATAGTTTTCATCCATCTCATCAATAATGAATGTAGCAATATTGTAGCCATAAAACTGTCAACGCAATTTTGTTTTTGTAAATGGTCTCTTTAATTTCATTCTGATGGTTTTTTTCTGCCACAGCTCAAATCACATAAACACTCCTGGAGCTAAGAAGCTTGCCCTTGGATTGAAGAAGAACACCTCCTTAGAAGCATTACTAGTGAGTTCAAATTAAAACAAATATTTCCTGCAGAACATTCAAGAACAGCATTTTTCTCTGATATCCGTTTTTTTTCCTTCTTTTTCTAAACAATATTTTTAAGCTGTCAAAATTTCAAGATTAGTTAATCACATTTAAAAAAAAAATGTGCATTATTTTTTTAACCAGTTCACGCTGAAGGCCGTGATAACACGCAGTGGCTGTTTTTATACACAGGCACTGCTGACGGATTAAGACGTCAAGATTGCCTTGACTCGCCTCCGGGTGACGTCTTAGCATGCTAATCCCTCGTGTCTTTTGTACACACACAAAGTCCATGTAGCCTGTGGAGAATATTACTCTTGTGAATCAGTTTTTGTGGCGTTTGGCTATATTTCAGAAGTTGGCTGGGAAATTTTGCCTTTTGAAAATTTCAAAAATTTTCGGCAAAATGACCCGGCACGAAGTGGTTAAGTAACATTTCTTCGAATTGTTTTACTATAACATTGTCAGTAGAAGTTGTATAATATCAGTTGCTAATTCCACTGAGTGACCTTTGTCATCTCCGCTCTCTTTCCAGCTCCGTGCAAACCCCATGGGTGATGAAGGAGTGCTTGCCGTAATCAAGGCCTGCCCATACAGCACCAACTTGAAACTCCTGAGTCTACAGGTACCAATCCCTTATAGGATGTCTAGAAAGTAGTGCGGGAAATTCAAAGGCAGTATTTGTGACAAACAGAGCTATGAAAGAGAGTACAACATTTGCGAACATCAACAAACAAAACCACCAAATTGTTATGAAATACCTTACTGGACTGTTAGTGAATGACAGTCTAAAGCATCCTGTAATATCATGGCACCTCAGGTGTGCTGTCATCATAGATAAGTGGTATTGTTTTTTTATTAATTCCAACGCTGGTCTGCCGACCAGTATTGGAAAACACTTGCTTTTTTCAAATACTGCCCCCAATTTACCAAATTTTAGCTGGACAAAATTGTGTTTGTTATCGATTACAGGCTTATAGATTACATACATGTACCTATCAGCTAGACTGGTTCCCTGACCTTAAATTGCTCTGTTTCATCTTAAGTAGGCTCAGGGAACCAGACTTCAGGAACACAATTGTTTTTTTCCAGCAGTATGAACACAAAACTTAAAACAAGTATTTGCTATAAAATACCCCCCCCCCATCCATTTCTGGAAATAACATGTAGCAAAAGCAAATGTTGTGTATTCCCTTTAAGAAATTAAAGAATTTGAAACTCAAAAGATCTAAATTCTCATTTTAAAAACAGTTATTCTAGAAAACCCTAAAACTGCTATTATTTTTAATTAATACAGTTTCTTGGTTTGTAATTTTTTTTTGGTACAGGAAATCACTTTATCATTAGTAGTTCATCAGAAGATGCGTGAAGTCCAAGATTCGTGCAATCTGCACATTCTCAGCAGGGATTACAGCGGCCATAGAAGGACCGTGGTAAGGACCTCATAAGAAAAATTAACAAAAAGTACTGTATCGTAGCGGTTTTGATCAGCAACCTGGTCTACACATAGTACAAAATATTTGATTAACCAGTTGTGACGAAACATACATGGTGAGTGAAAAAAAGCAGAGCCCCAAAAACAAAGAAATATATTTCACACAAAAAATATATACAGCACCAATTTGACTTGGAAGCCCATTTATTAAAGTATTGTTCTACATTTTTATCGTAAATGAAAGGTTTGCGGAAACACCATGTGCGAATAATTTCTCAACTAAGAGAATGGTTTTGAAAAGAACCAGAGGTATAAACTCTACGTTCCGGTCATTATGCTCTGATTGTCTTCACTCCCCTGAAGATGGTCAGAGCATAATGACCGGAACGTCGAGTTTATACCTCTGGTTCTTTTTAGAACCATTCTCTTAGTTGAGAAATTATTCGCACATGGTGTTTCCGCAAACCTTTCATTATTTAGTATCTCCACCATTCAAAGCCTCAAATCTTACTTACATTTTTATCACTATTTAAACAAAGTAATCCTAAAATCAAACTTGTCTCAAAAAAGCAATTTATTGTGTGTTCCAACTGTTAGGAACAACAAAGAAAATGACACAGAATACTTGTTTCAACAACTGCAGTAGTACACAATACATTGTGTACTGCAGTTGTTGAAACAAGTATTCTGTGTCATTTGCAATATCTTTATCAAAAACCCTGCTTTGGCTAACAATAAGATTTATATAATCAACTTTTTTTTTCAAAGATGGGCTTTAAAAAGGACTTTGTTGAATATTTTTTACTTTTAAACTGAAGTTTTTTCGCTGGTGATGTTTGAAGACAATTGTGACGACAATTCTTGAAGTCGCATTTTTTTGACAACAGATTTTAGGGTCATTTCCTTTAAATGGTGATATAATTTGAATGAATTGAGCAATTGAAGTAATTTTTTCATCTTAAAGTAGTTTATTAAATTGGCTTACCAGTCATAAGTGTTTTTGGTGCTACATATTTTTTTTTTAAATGTGAAATATATTTGTTTGGGTTTGGGTTCCGCTTTTTTTAACTGACCCTGTATATCACAGCATTGAAACTTATATGTTTAAACACGGGAGGCTGTTTTGCAAAGACTAGTTCAGCCACAACCTAATAAAATTATAGATGCCAGATGTAACAGGGACACCTAAAAAAGTTGGCCCCAAAATGTATAGAATGACCCTCATTATAATATTGGCTCCTCCCACTTAGGCTGTCAGTCACCTGGTTGCCATGGTAGACCAGTTCATCATTGGTCAACAAGCCAGAATCCTATACAGCTGCTTTGTCGTCGATGAGCAGAGAACCTGCATGGTGACTGCCCAAGAACTCCGCAAGGTCTTACTGGATACGGGACTGGACTTGAGCAATGTAAGAGTGACATTTTATTCTTTTTGGATGTGATTCTAGATCGCATTGAATCGAGTGATTTCAGATTTCTTGATAAAGTTTTGATTTTTCTGTATATTTAAGAACTTCTTCAAACCCATGTGTGAATCAGTTGTTTGAGACAACAGAGGACAAATAAATTCATTGAGGACCATTTGCCGAATTAACAATATAGGGTCCCAGTAAAGTTTTACTGTTAAAGTCAGATATTTCATTCGTCAAGTTTCTCCCAAGATGGAAAATGGCTGAATTCCTCAATGAGCCATTAATGATTTACTCTTCACGACTACAAGAGGAAATTGTTCTATCTCTTCAAATAATAACATTTTGAAGAACTACATTTGAACCAGTTATTCTTTCAAGAATCGCAGTGAAGCTTTAGATAAATTCTCAGCTAAATCTGATCAGTGTTTAATGTAATTATAATTTATCAAGACTGTGGCAATAAATGGGAAATTCAATGTTATTTATTTTCAGGAACAAATTGATAGCGCTCTTTCGCAAGTAGGGGTGCTCCACTCCGACAAAATACCGTACAGGTAAACTACTGCCGTCAACTATTTTCTTAGATGTATCTTCGGAAGACATTTATGTTCTGTAAATAAAGCTGTCTTTGATGCTCATTTTTGTGTGGAATTTGACAATGTGACTGTTGGTGAACTGTTATTCCCATCAATATCAGGGATGCCCCTTCTCTCACCATTTTCAAGAAACGTCTTGAAAGTTTCTTATTCATAACATCCTGGTCCTCTCTTGTACAGCGCTTTGATCTATCTTTTAAAAGCACTTTATAAGTATACGTGTAATGGTACCATTAAGAAGACACATTATTGTAATTTCTTCGCACGATGGGAGACATCGGTCATTAGTATTATTATTATTATTATTATGGTATTCTTAAAGTCTACTCATCTGCTGTAATCATTTTGGTTTTCTTTTTATACACAGACCTCTGCTTGATGGACTCTCTGCACTTCAACAAAGGTCCAGACCAGCTGTGAACAATACGAGCTAGCTGGAGTTTAGGAACAGTACAATCCTCATGGTCTACCGTAGGTGAAACTCTTGTGGCCTAGTGTCTAATTAGTTGCCTGGCCCCACTGTGTGGCTTTGTAAAAGTTGGCAGCTGTCACTCATGGTGAGGCATCATTTTGAATGGAGGCAAAGGTTCCTTGAGAGAGTTCTGGCATTTGCAGTGTCTGAAGGTCTTCACGATCTTGGAGCTATCAGACTACTCGTGATGCAGATGGTTTCAAATGAGGCTTCCTCAAATCCGGACTTCTTGTGAGTTCTTTTGATCAGAGCCACAGGGTCCTAGATGGAGCTGGTTCTTCCTTACAAGCTTAAAGCTCTTGATATTCCTGGATACTTGCGGGCAAGGTTTGCAATGACCTCAGCTCCATAGGTGCTTGGGTTCCCTCGTCGTCTGGCTAGGAATACTTTCGATTTTATAGCCACATGGTTCCTTGAAAGAGCTTTGCCTTTTGTTTTAACTGGAGTACTTCACAGGCTTGGCGAGACTGGGATCCTTGCTGAGGTTGCTTGTCGCCAGAGCCCCCTCCCCCTTAAACTCACCTTTCATTTGACCTGGCGAGGACTCCTGAGCCAAAGGTTCCTTGAAACATCCCCTGGAATATTTCAAATTCTTGCAGCTATTGGATTACTTGTGGCTAAGCAGTCGTTTACAACCAAGCGTTCTGGCTTCCTGCGAGTCTTCATTTCCTTCAGTCGAAATAATTTATTCCGAACTCTGTTGCAGCATCAGATTAATTTGGTCTTCAAATCCTTTTCGGTTTAGATTTGCGCGGTTTGAGGATTGGGTTTTACTTTACCATTGGTTTTACCAAGCAATTATGTTGGTTATTAGGTTATATGCAGTGAAAGGTTGTTACATAAGTTTCTAAACGATTCACTGTATTATTTCGTAAACTTACGCAAGCTTGCTTTTTACCTACATAATTTTGAAATATTTTGGTTTTTTTAGACTGTGTGAGGTTTTTAGAGTGTGTAAAAGTTTTTGAAGTCTGGTGCTGTTTACTTCCCGACTCTAATAATGAAATCCATAAATCCATCCATTTTATTTTTTGAGAAGTGTATATTTTCAAGAAACTGACATACATGTATATCCTATATATCTATTTTATTTCTTTGAATAGGATAATTTCTGATACTGTGTATCGAATATTATTCAGAATTTACTTGCAAATTTGTCATTGGGTTAATGCTGGAGAAATACGGTTATACTCTGTTGGAAATAGTAACTTCTTTTTTGCTTACAGTAATGGTTCCTAAGAATTTTATAAAATTGTTGTAAAACTCTTCTAAAGGAATATTATATGATCATTTGTAAACTTGCCTTTTTTTTTACACTGGACAGAAAACCATGTACATGTGCAATAATTTGTGCATTCTCAGTGTTTCCACTATTTATGAGCATTCAAAACAATTTTGACTGCAATTTCTTTTCACGTGTCATATTTCTAGTCAAGATGGGATCTTCATTGTGTTTAGTTGATTGGAAGGGCAGGGAATATTATATACATGTATACATTTGGTGTACAAGCATTACATTCACTGTGTGGACTTCCAAACAAAAGATGTCCACATAAACCAGGTAGCAGCGACATTGTGTGGACTTGCCCACGTCCACACAATGTTCCCCCCTCTCTGGAAAACAGGTTTAGAGGCATTTTTGGATTAGGTTTATCCGTGGCAAAATGAAGAGAAACACTAAAGGGAATCATAGAAAATATAGGTTTTCCCGACCAATTTCCTAAATTGTTCATTCACTTTTGATAATCGGTCATTCCTTTTCGTCTGAATTTGAATGCACATCTTTACTCCCATTTCAATTCAACGGAAGTTCAATCGTTTTCATTGTCCGTGCATTCGGTTTTAGAAACAGACGGCCAATTACGTTACCGGTGCATTAATTTATGCAAGCATACCTTTTCTAAATTGATTTCAGGTACATGTACTGCTAATTTGATTGATGTTAATGAAAAAGAAACCCCTAATTGTATCTGGTGCCGATGGCATTAAACTAAAAGTGAAATAGAATGGTGCATGTTTGAAATCACCCTCTAAAAGCGAAAAAAAAAAGGCCTTGTAAACGAATCTGAATGGACATAAACGAAAGGTGCCGCTCAATCTCTTAATTGATTGAACTGAAATGGAATCGAATGCTCTGGTAGCAAAAATGAAACGCGTGTTCAGAGCGATTCTCAAAATGAATGACAGATTTTCAGAAGTGAATGAACATCTTGGGAAATTGGCTGGGAAAACCTATTATTTGGGTTGAAAGAGTTTTCACAATTGGAGTAAAATGAGTGTTTTCACAGGTTTTTCTTAACTACATGAAAACAAAGGAAAGTCCACACTTCATTTGTAAAACAAACATGGGTGTGTAGGCAAGGGCCGAATGCGACTCAAATTGTGACCTCACAAACTTCTGTCTTCAACTTCAACATTTTCTCTTTTTGTATTTGTTAATGGTTTGTGGTATGCTGTGTTGGTTTTTGCAATTTTATTTATCTACTGCAACATGCTGTGCTGAAATAAACATACCTGTTTGTGTGTGAAAGAAAGTTTGTTGACAGTTTGAATAATTGCCATCTAATTTAAACAAAATTGAAAGAAATTTTACACTCAAAAAAGACATGAGCTTAGAACAATCATTTTTTTTCTGCAAATTTTTATTAGATTTTCATATATTTTTTTATAAATCATAAACTCTTTACAAGTCATAAATCACGATGATGATGAAACCACTTTTTGTTTTACAGTTACTAGCAGGCTATTTACAAGAATGTTTTTGCATCGCTTCCAAGAAAACAGCAGCTGAAAATTAATTTCGTTATCTTTTCCAAACATAAGGCTACGAAACAGAATGAATCAAAACGGAATCAAAACGGAATGAAAAAAAAATCAGAAATTATTAAATAACCACCAAAAATAATACCAACTGCATCCAAAAAGCTGAATATCTGAAACAAGTGTTGTATAATTTAATGGAAAACTGGAAATGATTCCTTCCCAAAGCAATGCTCGACAATATCATTTCGACATAATAATGAACATTAAAACACTGGACACAGTGTTGGCACAGTAGTTCGGTCGACTTGGAGTACTTTTGCATATGAAACATTACATGCATCAAAGAGATACCCCATATTAAGTCTTTGCACTTTGAAACAATGAATTCACATTAACCTGTAACAGTGATTTCGTTCTTAAAAGGCTTTTTTTTTTATTTGAGTAAAACTATTTGGCATTTTTCTCAAATAAGAATGTTGTGCTAATGGAGAGTTCCAGCAATTTTGAAATTTGCACCCGTATCATGTATTCCTACTGACTTCACTTGGTGTGTTCTCATGGGCTGAGGGAAAGTGACACGTGAATTACATGTGGAAGCCAATTGATACAGATACAGTATGAATTTCCGTCTTCACTCAAAATATCTTCCGATTTAATAATTATATCAAACCCTTATTCTTAATTTATTGACGTACGACACATAGGACTGCAAACGGAGGCTCTTAAAGAGTGATTTTTTCACAGTGTATAGTGAATTTTTAGTATTTTTGTGACAAAATTGTAAATTGGTTTCCTTGGAAGCAATAACCACATGCACAGGCGTGATGGTACTAAAATTTGAACACGACCTCAAGTATGTTTACACGTATCAGTCGTGGTCACACAGATATGTAACTTCTTCTTTTTTGAGGATGCCGCAAGTGTCTTTTGGCCCAACAGATGCTTTCAACATGATTTGAAAATCCAGGCTATATGTAGGTGCTCTGAGTATCCTGACTTCCATGCTTTTCGGATATAGCCAAGAAAAACAGTAACTGATAAAAGACAACATCATGTTACATTGGTATGACAGCCAGGGTACCACTAAGAGTAGGACATGCAAATGTTGGAGTGACTGTGGAAACAATCGTAACAAGCAAAGTTACGGCATCCAGGGCACTACTGATAATGGAAATAGCCTGGCCACCATACAACTGGCATATATACTGGATCAAATGTGAGGGCAAAGGTCAATATCCATGAACTGATGAAAATTGGATAACAGCACAAACATTTCAAAAAGAAACAAAAAAAGAAATAGAGTACTTGACCATGATAATGGTAAATGTAATTACAATGTATAGACAAAAATATATATTACTCTTTGACAACATAATTCGCTGCTTGTCGAGGTCTCATCACCAGTGTCGGTTGAGACTAAAGAGTACGTCTTCAAATTCATCATCGTCAACATCGTCATCTGACACTGGAAAAAAAAATTATAAAAAGCACAAACCCAAAGGTAAAATGATGGAGTGAGTGGGTTTGATTTCGGGCGCTTATGGGCTCAAGTGGGTGAAGGATTTAAGGTGGGGTTGAGGGTAGATTTGGTTTGGATGGGTTTGAATTGGATGGAGTAGATTTTGGTTTGAAACTGGGTGGAACTTGAATTATGTTGGGCTGGGTCAGACTGGGTTGGTGTGAGTTGGGTTGGATGTGGTTAAGCTGGGTTGAATTGGATAGGTTGGGTTTGATCGAGTTTGGTTGTGCTGGGTTTGGTTGGGCTGAGCTGGGCTGGGTTGGGTTGGGTTGGGTCGGGTTGGGTTGGGCTGGGCTGGGCTGGGCTAGGCTGGACTGGACTGGACTGGACTGGACTGGACTAGGTTGAGTTGATATAGGTGGGATTGGGTTGGGTTGGGTTGAGTTGGGCTGGGCTAGGCTGGGCTGGGCTAGGCTAGGTTGAGTTGGTATAGGTGGGATTGGGTTGGGTTGGGTTGGGTTGAGTTGTGCTGGGCTAGGCTGGGCTGGGCTAGGCTGGGCTGGGCTAGGTTGAGTTGGGCTAGGTTGAGTTGGTATAGGTGGGATTGGGTTGGGTTGGGTTGAGTTGGGCTGGGCTAGGCTGGGCTGGGCTGGGCTGGGCTAGGTTGAGTTGGTATAGGTGGGATTGGGTTGGGTTGGGTTGGGTTGAGTTGGGCTGGGCTGGGCTAGGCTGGGCTGGGCTGGGCTAGGTTGAGTTGGTATAGGTGGGATTGGGTTGGGTTGGGTTGAGTTGTGCTGGGCTAGGCTGGGCTGGGCTGGCCTGGGTTGGGTTGGTATGGGTGGGGTTGGGTGGGATTGGGTTGGGTTGGCTTGAGTTGGACTGGGCTGGGCTGGGCTGGGCTTCATAGTTAGTCTTGCACAGAAATAGTCAACAAAAACCAAACTCCACAGATCAAACAATCGCCTAATTACCTGAATCTGAACTAAGCGAGATGACATCACTAGCCAACGAGCCTTGGCTACTGTTATGATCATCATCATCACCATCGCCATCTCCATCTCTCGCCCCACCTTCATCCTCGCCTCCTTCCCCGCCTCCATCCTCCCGGTCACTGCTTCCTCCCAAGATGTCTTCAATGTCAAACTCATCATCATCATCATCGTCGTCGTCTGAGCCATCTTCGTCTTCTTCATCGTCATCATCCCCCTCATCCTGGAGGAGAAAAAAACACACAAATGGTTCCAAAGATTTGACTGAGTTTCTTTTGATAAGTCCACCTCTCTTTCTTTTCTAGAAATAAGATTACCTCTTCCTCCTCCCCGTCTGCTTTGCGCGGTCTTCCGACCTCGTACAACCGACAATCACTCTCAACATTGAGTGACTCCACACTACCCTGGGTCTGTGAATGCAAAACAAGAATAGAAATTTCATCAGTGAGGTTCAGGATAGAAATTTAATCAGTGAGGTTCAGGATAGAAATTTAATCAGTGAGGTTCGGGATAGAAATTTAATCAGTGAGGTTCGGGATAGAAATTTTATCAGTGAGGTTTGGGATAGAAATTTCATAAGTGAGGTTCGGGATAGAAATTTCATAAGTGAGGTTCGGGATAGAAATTTCATAAGTGAGGTTCGGAATAGAAATTTCATCAGTGAGGTTCGGGATAGAAATTTCATCAGTGAGGTTTGGGATAGAAATTTCATAAGTGAGGTTCGGGATAGAAATTTCATAAGTGAGGTTCGGGATAGAAATTTCATCAGTGAGGTTTGGGATAGAAATTTCATAAGTGAGGTTCGGGATAGAAATTTCATATGTGAGGTTCGGGATAGAAATTTCATAAGTGAGGTTCGGGATAGAAATTTCATCAGTGAGGTTCGGGATAGAAATTTCATCAGTGAGGTTCGGGATAGAAATTTCATCAGTGAGGTTCGGGATAGAAATTTCACATTTAGGAAACGTAACAACAACAGTGTTTACGAAATGTCAACTGAAAATATGACTAGCACATCCCGGAAATTGGGCCCTCAACATAAGACCTCACAAGAAGGGTACCAGTGCTCAACTAAATTCAGCTCTCCTCTGCTCCCAAGTTTCTATGATTCTCTCTAGTGATTTTCTTTAACGAAAATACTTTGTTTGAAGCCTGATGTAGCCTGGTTTTGTTGTTTGATGGAAGCTTTGTGATGACTAACCTCAAGGACTGCAAGATAGCAATCTGTAGGGTCCGTGGCCAGATCAAAGATGTTCCTCTTCACATCGATGGTGGCTAGAGCCGGGAAAAAAAAGGACAAAATCCAGTTTTATTACCATTTTTTTTCATCTTGCTAAGCATCCATCCTTGCAGATATCTAAGGCCCATTCAAGACGCCGTGCTGCTTCCGCAATGTAATTTAATTGAAATGAGTGCAGCAATAGCTCGCCTTCCGCACTGCAGTTAGTCTAAACGCCGAACATAAGAGTCAAATCTTAACGCATCTGGAGTAACTGGCCAGGTTAAAGCAGTTCAAGTAGTTCAATGAACTGTCAGTACAATCTAACTAGCGATCTTCACATCATAGGAGGTTAAGGGCAAATGTGATCTTTTGCTTTTCATACATTCTTTTTTATTTTTTTGGTTTTCAATAATAACACCACTCAAAATCCCAAGAAGAATGTTCAAAACCTTACCTGCTGAAATTTCAGCTCAGTGGATTTTACACGTTTCAAGAAAACAGTGAAAAAAATATGCCCAACCTTTTGATCACGAAACAAGATTCGTCAATAGCTCTCTTTTTATTTCCGAAAATCAGTCAATTGACTGATTGCTGGAAATCACCTATATTTCTGGATTCCTTCTAAATTACAGCGAGCCTGATGCAACACTATCACAGGGTGTTCGGTACCAGTACGATCTTTTATCCAAGCAAGTGTTTTGGGATAAATGCAAATGATCCTACGTGCCTTTAAAGAGGTTGTGGAATGCTCGAAGACATTTCCGTCATTTTTCGGGTATATGTAGCCTAAGGTGTGATGAAATAAAAATGACTATTGTTTCTGTCATAAAAGGAGTACAAAAGGTACTTTTGAGAGCTGTTTTTCAAGTCCTGTCATGCCTGTTTCGAACCGAACGTGCAATTTGTGTAAAAGTCGTCGTTGCGGGCAGCAAACAAAACACAGTAAATCGTGACGTAATAAACAGGACTCCAGATGCAGAGTAGCATAAACGAGTCCTGTTTATTACGTCACGATTTAGTGTGTTTTGTTTGCTGCCCGCAACGACGACTTTTACACAAATTGCACGTTTGGGTCGAAACAGGACCTGAAAAATAGCTCTCAAAAGTAACCTTTGTACTCATTTCATGACAGAAACAATAGTCGTTTTTATTTCATCACACCTTAGGCTACATATACCCAAAAAATGACAGAAATGTCTTCGAGCATTCCACAACCTCTTTAAGTATTACAGTTGATAGTGCCAATAGCCTACCGATTGGTTTGTAGTCCGTGGCATCAAACGTCCTGAATGTGGAGCCAAAGGGACTCTTCTTTAGCCTTTCATCCAAGAGGTCATCTTCGTTATCGGGCTGGTAGACGGCTGGGAATGTAAAAATCAAAACAGCTAATGCAATAAACTTAAATAATCTTTAAAATACACCTCTCATATCCCATTCATTAAATGCAAGTTCATTCATTCATTAGCAAGTACATTTAAGACCGGCTCAGGGGCCTGGTCGTCAAAAATGTCCCTCGCCTTTGGCTGGGGCCATTATCAGCATCCAGTCCCCTAAGTCGGTCTTGTTTAAGACCGGCTAAGAACACATTTATTCCCTTATTTAAATATCTGTTTACATTACAGCAAAACTTCTGTAAGTTTTTACGTCTCCTTTTTTGTTTGTTTTATGCTAATGCAAAGTTTCATATTTTTGTGCTAAACAGTAACAATATCAAAACTTCTCAATTTTGCTTTGTTGGTTATTTTGTCTGCGGTCGATTCTCTGTTCTTAAGTGTTTGTTAATTTAGTACACCACTGTCTGTTACTGAGCTAAAAGGAATATGGACCAACAGAGGGCGACAAATTTCAAACATGCACAATGGCAACATTACGCCTGAAGAGGGTGCCCTTGTGAACACCCACAAAACTTACTTCCATAGATTACAGTCCCTGCTGTGTTGAAGACTATGTTGCACTGGTCCAGCGCGGGCACAGTGTGCATGAGATGGAACGTCCGTACATCCCACTGAACCGTACAATTAAGGATTAAACAAGGTTTTTATGCCTCTTGACTAGTTCCACAGAGTGATTGACTGGATCCTTGATATTGAACACTAGAAACTGGCAGAACGGACTGCCCGTCACTCAAACAGTGCAAATTGACTAATTGCATGTATATTTTGCATAATTTAACCATAGTACTTAATAATAATGGATACTTATACAGGGTGGTGCAAGAAGAAGGAAACCCACTTTTGACAGCAATTTTCACCTACTTGTTGAGCATATTCCAAAAATTCAATTTAATGTTATTAAAATTTTGATCTTTAAACCTAGGTCTTTAAACCTAAGTGACGAAAAAATGATTGCAAATGCATATTTTGTCTCTGAGATACATGGTACATGTAGTTTAAAAATGTCATGTGCCAAACCTGTTCGTCCACGGTTGGCTTTATTCCATCTGCTTGACTGAGCTCCGGAGCTTGATTTGAAGACAAAAACACTACACTAGATTTACACGTGGACAACAGTGATTTTGGTGACTTGTATTCAAATTAGCATAACATTATTGTTACGATTTTTTAAAAGATTTGTTCACCACATATGGTTGAACAGCTATACTTCAATACATTACATAAAATAAAACAGTTCAAAAAAGTGAAGTAACTCTATAAGGTAGTTCAGTCAAACTCTTGTTGCAAGCGCTGTGAGAGATGTACACAAACCAAAAAATGGGCGGGGCTTGTGGGGTGGGTGGGGATTGTGGGCGGGGCTGATGGCCAAATCTGGAATGGTCTATTCTATTCAAGGGGGAAATTCTCAAGGATACGATTTCTGAGTTGATGATGATCTCCAGGCCGGACGGATGGAACATGCCGCTGATGTTGCTCTGGAACTGGTCAAACTTGTAGATGGGCTTGGCCGACCGGACGTCCCACAGCACCCCGTCATTGAGGACGAGGTCGTCTGTGGGGTCAAAGGTCGCACTGTTCCTGGTGTAGTGGTTGCTGAGGTCGGCATCCTCCAACTTGAGGATCTGCTGGCCTGTGGACGTGTCGTAGATCTGAGGATGGGTGAAAAAAAAACCCAGATCTTGAGAAACCATTTCTGAGGTGTAACCACGTTCGAGCAAATGTTAAACACATTCATGCAGCGTGTTTGATAACTTCCCTCGCGCTTAACCGTACTCTCGTCTTGGTTATAGGTACACATGCACAATCTGTGACAACAACCAAACCATCTCGGGTTACTCGAGGTCGAGTCATAGCAACCAGACCGGGTCAAGAGGTCATGTGGCGATTAAATCCCCTTTCCAAATGGATTCGAGCCGTCGAAAGTGAGCCACGGTGGCCACTGTACGTGCTCTTCCAAATGGAACAAGAAATGCCGGGTTTGTTTAAAATTAACTTAACTTTCCTCTGGTCGTCTAGTACTAGTGTGAAGTGAAGCTGAGACACTTTTGAACACGGTTTGTATTGACATGAATCAAGAGCGCCCTCTAGTGGAAAGTTATGATTATCAAGACAACGAGCAAGCGGCTACTCACGTATGCGCTCTCCTCCTTGGTTCCAATGATCCTGTCCTGGGACAGTTTGCCGAACTCCACATGATGGTCATTCTGGAAGGTGTACCTGATAAGACATACCAATTCATAATTGACATTGTAGCCCCTTGACTTTTTCTATACAGGGTGATAAAAAAAAAACGAACCCCAAATGTCTGGACCATTGTTTTAGTGAAGTTCTGCATGTAGCACTTTCAAAATCTAGGATATGATAGCCCAATTCATAAGCTTTCTTTTAGTACAAGAATCACTCAAATCACTCAAGCATTTTTTAACTTAGAGTTTTAAACACAACCACAAATTTAAAGTTCTGTCCACGAATCACAAAAAAGGTGTGCGTTCTTTCAGCAAAACAAAAACAATTCACACATCTTTATTTGATTTGTTTTCGATTTGCTGAAAGAAAACTGAACTTTTTGTGATCCGTGGACAGAACCTTAAAACGACGGTTGTGTTGTAAAACTCGGTAACTCGAAAAGTACATGAGTGATTTGAATGATTCTTGTACTAAAAGAAACCTCATGAATTGGGCTTTCATATCCTAGATTTTGAAAGTGCTACATGCAGAACTTCACTAAAACAATAGTCCCGACATTTGGGTTTCATTACTCATTTGTGAGGCGTTCTGGCAAAATGAGACAGAACTGGGCAGAGGTTGAAATGAGGGTTTGCGGGTGTTAGGAAAGAGAATAAAATTCTCCTTACAATACTGTTTGTTGCACTGCAATCGGACATTCCGTTGATAAGTTATGGTTGTTTAAAGTTTGCACTTATCGACATGTCAAAAAAGTAAAATACTGAGAAAAATGCCATTAAAGTTTCGAGTTTTGTATATGTGAAAATGAAAGATGCCACTTGGTTTTCATTACACATTTATTCCACATTTTTTTACAAGATTTTTAACATTTGTGTAGTAGATATATCAAAGATTACAAATATGAATAAATCGGAAAATCAGAAAAGAAGGGTTTTTTGCATTTTTCTCCACTACGGCCTGTGCCCAGTTCCGTCTCACATTTATTGTAACTTTTTTGTGAAATACTTCAATACAGTAAACAAAACATTATTCCCTCCCAAAAAATACTCCAAGTGAAGTGGAATGTGTGCTTCATTCAAACATTCACGATACTGTTGCTTTTGAGATTAATACCATGTCCTTAACCCTAACCACCCCAACTCCATCAAAATCCATCCCCCCATATTGGTGGATTTTGGGGGACTTGGTCCAGAAGGCATGACTAAATATTGATGGAGTATGATGGACTTCGGCCTAATGGCCTGAAGCAGTGCTAGGGGGATCCGATGGATTTTGCCTAGCTTCCTGTACTGCTATTGTGATAAAAGCCATGTGTAGCAAGTCCATGAACGTCAACCAGTGCGTCAGTGGTGGATTCCGTTATGTCATGTACAGTTTTGTATTGGAAGCATTGTGATTGATGGATTTTGATGGACTTGGTCCAGTTCCTAGTAAAAGACATTAGGGAGTTAGGGTTAATGTTGGTGTTTAATAACAAGGTGTGCATATCTTCACAAGCCCATTTTTGGTCCGTCGCTTTGTCTATTGTGTAGAAAGGCAATATACAGGGTGACCAAAAAAAAAGTTGTGCAAGCAGATTTCATCAAATTTCTCAAAAAGTACGTAACAGGAGTATTTCATTTTGATGGAGCATATTCATTATACTCTTTGTGTATAATCAGTGAAAATGTCATGAAAACCTACTCTTGCGAACCAGAGCTGTAACAGATTATAGAAAGATATGTGTTTTTCAGCCATTCCAATGGGAATTACACACTGCACTGGAAATCACTCAACCAGCACTCTGCAACGGGTCTTTTCATTAACTGTGTAAATCCCATTGGAACGGGTGAAAAACACATTGCCATTTATAATCTGTTGTATCTCTGGTTTGCAAGAACAGATTTTCATCAAATTTTCACTGCGATTATACACAAGAGTACAAACAATATACTCCATCAACATGAAATGCTGTTGTTGGATACTTTTTTGAGAAATTTAAAGGTGTCTGCTTGCAAAACTTTTTTGGGGGTCACCCTGTACACCAGGAAGACTGAAAACACGCACATTTGAAGAAGGCAGCTTTATCAATGCTATCAAAAATATTCTCAGGTTTTAAATTTGAGTTCACCACTTACTTTTTGTCGAAGGTATCGCCAATGCCCCACAATGCTGACATAGGATTGCTCCATGAGCTTGCAGTCAAGATGAGCTTCCCATCCTAGACATGAGAAAAATATGAAGGTACACTCATGATAAACACGGGCCAGCCGAGTATCTCTAAAGTTTCTTCCAAAAATTAAAATTGCTTCGGATAAAACCAGGGCCCAATTTCATAGCGCTGCTTAACAGTTAGCAGCAAACTTGTGCTATCTATCAGGCATGCAACTGGGAATTTAGAAAAAAACAAGGAAATTCCAAACCACACAAGACTTTGTACAGTGTTTTTCAATTTGTAATGGCATTCCTGAGAAGTAAAAAACGAGGAAATCAGCGGATCCGAGGAAAAGTTGCATGCCTGTACTATAGCAGAAAATCATGCTGCTGCTTAAGCACTATTTCACGGCATGGACATGCTAACGGTTGCGCGTTCATGGAGATTTCTACTACGTCATCGATTTAAGCAACCTTTTCCTCCAGGGTTAAGCGTGCCTTTGCTGCGCTGATTGCTTACAGTCTCAATGAAATAGACGGAGGCTTGGTTAGCATGCATTCTGAAGTTACGCAGCACTATGAAATTGGGCCCAGAACACGTAAATGACAAAGATTATAACAAAAACCACCTACCTTTGACGGCTCCAGGTGGCTGATTGGAGAATCGTGACAACTATATGAAGCTTCCTCCTATAAAACAAGGGGAAAAAGAATGATATATTATACAAATTTTGACTGCTTTGAGTGGTGTAGTAAAAGTTAACTCCCCGGGTGATCCACGGAGCGTTTTATTTTCCCGAGGTGAAGCTGAAGGAAATAGAACACTCCACCGGACTCGACTACAACACTGCCATGGGCTCCGTGCCCAAGTACACCCTCAATGGTTAGCAAATGGAGAGTTGGGGGAGACCACTGGGAGAGACATTGGAAAATATTACCAATGGCGCCTGACGCTGCCGCCAAGATGCTTGGCTCTCTGCACACTCAAAACGAAAGTAGTTGTGCACGGTTTGTCCCCCAAAGTTTGTACAAAAAGTCCATAACAACAGGTGATAATGGTTTGAGTTTTGAAAAGGTCCAATTGAAACAAAGTATCTTGCTCATGGGCACAATGGGATCCGTGCGCCAACAAAAGAGGGAGCCCTCATACCTAGCAATGACGTCCCATGGGCGGGACACATACATTTCGCTGGTTGACGCGATTTGTACCATGTGTAAACGCAGTGGCCGCGCTCTGCGGCAAAATATTGCAGTCAGGCAAGATGGTTGCTCAGTCACCCCCAACTGTACTTTCTTTGCCGGTGAGGGGGTACTTGTGAACAGAGCAGATAACTACACGTTGGCTTTTGAACCTCATTGCAACTGCATTTTGAATCTTTTCAATGTTAGGTTTTGCCCCTATTCATAATTATAATATCATAATATTAGGTTTTGTCGTGTTTCTATAAACACTATAATCTCAGTGTTTTCCCGAGTGATTGTGAGAAAAAAATCACTTGGGTGGGACTCAAACCCACGACTTCATGCTTAGTAGTGCAGACATCTAAGCAGGAGGTCATGGGTTCAAGTTCAAGTGATTTTCTTCTCACAATCACTTTGGACAACACTGAGTATACAGTGTTTATAAAAACACGTCGGTGAAGGGCAAAACCTAATATTGAATTTACACCACCCCTACGATAATTCCATTTTATGAACAATTTTATATCTTATCCTATTTTTTATAAAAATAAGAAAAATATTAATTTACAACTCACATTTCCGGAATAGATATTGTACGCCTTTAACTCTCCTTCGTAGGTACCAAGCCATAGGAACATTTCCGTGGGCTGTAAAAAAAAAAACACCAAAGAAAATAGTTATCCAAGAAAATTCAAAACTAAATCATTTATATTTTTTTCTGAATTTCTGGGTTTGGTAGTTTGTTTGTCGCCAAGTCAACTCACGTCTGTGTGTCTGCTGAACCTGCAGCATGTGAAGCAGGCATCGTCTTCAGGGTCCTCATGGATCGTCTGCACCGGCCGAAATCTAAAAAAAAAACGGAACCAGGAAAACGATTGGCATGAAAATGGCCTGAAAATAGAAAGCCACTTACTTAAAAAAAAAAGGTCAAATAAAAAGGACTAAAAATGTGTTTGTCACATGGACAAACACAGCTGTTTGGGCTGTTTGCAAATGAGATTGTGTATTGTTTGTCTTTGCACCGAGTTTCACATTGATGTGAATTCAGAAAATGTCAAATTTTGTAAAAAGTAAAGCAGACAATAACAAATCTGTAATAATTCATTAAAAGAATTGCTGACGTCATCACGTGTTGAGAAATCAAATTGTTCATGTCACACATTTTTCAATTTGTCTGGTTCGTCTATGACCTAACAAACCTATTTTTTACAAAAAGAATTACGAATTAAAAAGATTTTGTTTGTTTAAATTGGAAAAATTAATATAAAATCACACAATGACGTCATTGTGACATCACTAAAAAAAACTCCAATTGTTCAATCCCAAGGTGAGATTGAAGGCTATTCTAGGTGGGGGGTTGGCCTGGTACCACAAATCCTTTCTGATGACTCACCTACTGTAAATAAAATGTCTTGTGCACCTGGCTCCGTCGACACCTCCATGCATCGGTCGGATCTGTCAAACAAAAGCACAAAATATATATTTAAAGTTCAACTCAGTGAAAAAAAATCACAGTGATTTGAAAAAACTAAAGAAAAGTTGCCAGATGCGTTTCAGTACAATGATAAGCAGTTTTGTAAAACTTTGCTTTTAGAGAAGAAATACATAAAAGCTGGCCCAGAGGTTTAGTTGCCAAGGTTAACAATAGCTCTTTAATAATATTGTCTTTCCAAAAAAATATTTCCAGTTTCGAAAAATGAATTATAAAATACGTGTTTGCTGTTTGTTTTTCACTGGAAAAAGGAGAAGAAAACTCAGACATATTAGGCCAAAAAAAAAAGTCTCCGGTTTCTGCGCGTCGGCAAAATGAAAAAGTTTTTTATCAATGAAAGATGATGTCTCAAAACCGCCAAACTCACTGGTTTGACTGGAATCCTGCTGCTGCACAATTTTAACGTGTTTTGAGATGGGGTTATGATCGAGAATAAGCTTTATGTGGCCTCTCTGGTCTCCCATATATTTGCACTTAGTTTAGTCGGGCACCATTTGCAGTCATCAGCCGACATTTGAAGCAAAAAAAACAGGTAAAAAAAAAAAAAGCCGCTTTGCCGCACCACTTTTTGGGCAAGCTCCATGCCAGAAACCGGACACTTTTTTTTTGGCCTTAAGTCTAATTTTTTTTCATTTATCCAAGGTTCTTGTGTACAATTTTGGACAATTAAAAGCTCTTCCCTCACAGCCAGGCAAATGAAGGGATTTCAACTTACTGCTCGTCTGAATATTCTTGAGGTAGCATTTATCGGTGCATTCTGACGGAATCTAGGCTCTGGACATTGATGAGGTCTAAAACACACACAAAATGAGAAAAAAAAGGAAAAGAAAAACTGCAAATTGGGTTAAAATCATTCAGTATATTCACATTTATTTTTGTTCAGATGAGAAACAAAAGGAAAGTTGATTTTGGATTTTTTCCCCCAAATAATTAAATATTTTTTTCTCTCTTTCTGCAGTATCCATGGTTGTGGCATACCAAAACTGAGTTAAACGTAATATACAACATTTGCAAACATCAAAAAACAAAACTAATAAATTATTATGAAATACCTTACTTGACTTTCAGTGAATAATAGTCTCAAGCATCCTGTGAAATTGTGGCACTTGGTGTGCTGTCATTTTCAAGAAAAGTGAAGTTTTTGTATCAATTTACAATGATGGTTGGCGGACCATCGGTGGAAACAAACTTACTTTTTTCAAATACTGACCCCACTTTACCAAATGTAGTTAATCCACATTTTGTTTGCTATAGGTTACACATCCGTTAAAGGGAAAATACAACATTTGCAAACATCGAAAAATAAAACTACCAAGTTTTACGAAATACCTAACTAGGATGTTGGTAAATGACACTCTAAAGCATCCTGTAAAATTATGGCACCTGGTGTGAAGTCATTTTCAAGAAAATGGTATTTTTGTATTCATTTCCAACGGTGGTTGGCCGACCACCGTTGGAAAAACCTAACTATTTTTTTCAACTGCTCCAAATTTACCATTTGTTTCAGTCCAAATTGTGTTTGCTATTGGTTACATGTTCATGAACGAGTGCAGGCCAGCTAGACTGGTTCCCTCACCTCACAATTTTTCGGCATCTATAAATTGATCCATTTCAACTTTAATTGAGTCAGTGAACCAGACTACTTGAACATTTTTGTTTTTCTTGGTTTTTCCAGCATTTTCGAACACAAAACTTCAAACATGTCAGTGTTACACTATTTGATCATATTATATTAACCTCTCAAATAGTTCATTTCTGAAAATTACAGCGAAAGCCAAAGATGTACATTCCCTTTAATGGGTACAAGCCAGCTAGTCTGGTTCTTCTCCATTTCGTCTGAAGTAGGGTCAGGGAACCAGACTACTCAAACACAGGGTCCGCAATAAGCGGTATCGCATCGCAATTTGCGACACATTCGAGGCCGACTGCGACGCAATTTTTAAAGTGCATCGCAAAACTGCTATACAACATTTTGTTCATGAAAAGTTGACACAAAGTGTACTTGCCACCAAATTTCGGTCCACTGAATTCCACAACTATCGGACATGGTAAACATCCATCATGTTTTGATTTAGTTAAGCTTAAATACTGAAAAAGAACGTCAATTTTGTTCAGCTGTATAAAATCTGTACGTGTTTAGTTTGTAAACAGGCGGCGTCTGATAACGAGACCACGTGATAAACGCAGCTAATAATTTGGAATCGCGCTTATGATCCGGACATAAGGAATGCCCGGAGCGTCAGTGCGATACCAAATTATCCGCAGCATGTATCACGTGGTAAATCACGTGCATGATCGGAGGAGGTTGCTGGACGTACGTCGAGATTTTACCTCGTACTTTGAATCTGCTGCGACTGTGCGAGGAATAATTTATGGATTTATAAAAGAAATAACACGTTTGTACACTATCTGGTCAAGTATTCAACAAACTTTATTCTTATTCTCACTCACTGGTAAATATATGCATGAAATGAGTATTTTGGTGGCTAAAAAAGTTACATGCACGTCGTGCATGCTCAGTAAAAAAGCGTGCCCAAGCTAAAATCTACATGCGTGCACCCGTAGTAAATCGAGCCCTTTTCTCATCACTATTCTTTAGATATTTGTCGGTTTATCTTAAACATTTTGCCGACACGGAAAACGGGTTTACCCCTTCAATTAATTCACTTGATACGCACGTGGGATACGTGGGAACTAAAACGTCAAAATCCCAGCTGTGTTGTCGTTTGTGCGCTGTGTAGCATATTGATGAAAACATGGCTACTCACGAAAACTACCGGTATCAAGGCAAATACTGCCAATAATTGGCAGGCGGATCTAGACCCGGGGCCAGGAATGGCCCGGGTTAATAAATTGCTTTTTCATTCGAAAGTTATTCCAGCAAGCATGCAGCTCCTGAAATAAACAGACAACTGATGAGTCATTAAGTTCACAGCTTAACGTAAGTTACTTCTTATTGCTTTGTAATTTGTACAGTCTGACACTGACAGGTAAATAGTAATTGCAAAGCCGAGGCTAAATTTGAGTATAACAAAACTGCTATGCAAAATTGGTAAACTGCTATGCAAATCAAAATTTGCATAGCAGTTTTGCTATACAAAAAAAAATCCTTAAGGCTTACCCTGCTCAAACAGCATTGATTTTTTGTTTTTCCAGCATATATGAACACAACTTTTAAACAGGTCAGTGAAAGAATGTTTGCTATAAAATACAAACCCCCAAATCCATCTAATTTTGCAATTTTGAAAATTACAGCAAAAGCAAATTGTGCATATTACCTTTAAACTAATCCTAAGAAGAAAGTTCTTTCAAAACTCGCTTTTGTGAGTTCGTCAAACTTACTCTAGCAGTGAGAATGATGGACAGGCGACCACCGGGTTCCTGCAGTGAGCGTGCTGTTCCCTGAGATACTGTGACACTATGACGTCAAGAGACGGGGGGTTGGATACCGGACGGCGCCTCAGCTGACCTCCGACCCCACCCGTGTGGTACAAGGCATTCTGGGATACCTTCTCCCTTATTAGTCTCTTTCTGACCTGGAGTACAAACAGTTAACGGAGTGAAAACAGTTTAAGAAAAAAATCACTAAATAAAAATTAATAAAGGAAACAATCTGGTGGCAAATTTTGTTTTGGCTTGCTATCCAAAATCTGAAGATTTAACCAGCTTTTAAGAAAACTGAAGCACGTTGAGAAATGTGATAAAAAGCTAGTAACAACAATGGATGAAATTAGTTCAAAAAATGCTGATATCAGTTATTCCCAAAACTGAATAAGTTGAAATCTTGCAAGCATCAATATGTTTTTCTAAATACATTTACCTTAAATTTAGTTTATCTTTTTTTTAAAGATTAGGCTGTTGTTTCCCAAAACATGGATTCCGTGAGTAACTTCACCCCAAGTGATAAAAATGCCAACAATAATAAAACCCCAAAACCTGCAGCTGGTGAAGAACAAGACAAGCTGGTGAAGGACATTTTCTTTTCCATATTGAGGACAGTACTACAGCCGAGCCACTAATACTTCGCATGATAATTGAAATCCCTTGAAAGTCTACATTACAGGGTGAGTCAAAAAGAAAGTGACCTGGATTAAAGATTTTGTTTCTTAAAAAGCAGTCAAATTTGATACAACAATGAAGTATGTCTTCAAAGAGGATGTTCGGCCACTCATCTGAGCAAAAAAGAATGACTGAAATTGATATGTGCCATCAGAAGTTATGCATGTTTTACTAAACGAACCCAGTTTTAATAGCTGTCCATGGAATGTCATTGGAAGCTACTGAGCTGAGTGAGAATTACAGATTACACACAAGCATTCAAATACAAATGAGATTTTGATCATTGAAATCAAGACTGAAACAATATTTTTACCATCAGATTTTGTGTTTTGAATGTGAGGAACAAGTCAACTTCTTTTTCTGAAATACTGATGTCGATTTTTGTATGTTTCCCTTTGCAAGTTCTCGTTCACTCATCGAGGTGGGAAAACATCCATGTTTCATTGCACCCAATGGGTATTCATCAGTTCGTAGAACGGTAAATGATCAGTGGTGGCCAGCCGAGTTTTGCGATCTTTTTATTGAAATACACATAATTTGCGAATAGAGTATGCAAATTATGTGAAATTTTCACAGTTACATGTCAATAAGACGTATGTTATCCCTACGTTTACTTAATGAAATGGAGCAAGCCAAATATTTTATTTTAAATTTTAAAAAAATGGAGCAAGCCAAATATTTTATTTTAAATTTTAAAAAAATTCGGTCACTTTCTTTTTGACTCACCCCTGTAGGCAATTCCAGCATTATGTCATGTCTGTGACAGCTTTTAAGAGCTCAGTGAATAAACCTGAAGATGTATTTTTCAAATTTTACAAATCCATCATTTCTCTGAATCATTAATTAGATATCATGGTTAACTGCCCATTATAAGTGAATGTGTGATTGGGTTTCTGCAGAGTGGTGGACTTTGGAAGGGAGTGTTTCAGTTAAAAATGACTTGGAAGTTAGGGAGAAGATCACTGGTTGTACCCCTTCGCTCATTCCACTTACCCTGTTAACACTGCCGGGCGTGGCGGCACTCCTGTCTGGACCAAAGGAGATTCGGCCAATCTGCTGGGGCGTGGAGGGTGCGGAGTGGGTACTGGGGCTAGGGTCTGCCCCACCCTGCTGGGGGGCGGCATGGGGATGATCCTGAGGTACCGAGACACTGAGAGGAGGAAGGGTCTGTGCTGACCACTGGGGCTGGGGTTGGGACGGTGGGGGAGGGGGGTTTGGTTGGGGGTGGTGGGTCGATTGCTGGGAGATGTGGGGGATTGGCGGGGGTGCCCGTGGAGAGTGGAATGACCTCGGCTGTTGGGAAAAATCACAAAATTGAGAAAGACCATTTAGTGGATGAAATTCATGGAAAAGTGCGATTGGAATAAACAGTTTGATACTGCAGGACTTTAAAGGGAATGTACATTATTTGCTTTTGCTTCAAATTTCATAAATAAATGGATTTGGAGGATTAGGATATTATAGCAAATATTGTTAAAATGACTTGTTTCACGTTTTGGGCTTGTAGATGCTGGAAAAACCAGGAAAACCAATCATGTTCTTGAAGTCTGGTTCCCTGACCCCACTTAAGATGAAAAGGAGAATTTATAGACTTTGGGGAATTGTGAGGTCAGATAATCAGTCTAGCAGGCTTGTACCCTTCAGAGGTGTGTAATCAATTGCAAAGAGTTTTTGCAGTTTTTGCAACAAAGAGTTTGCAAGCAGTTTTGGAAAAAAAGCCAGTTTTCTCCAACACTGGTCGGCCGACCAGCGTTGGAAAAATACCATTTTTCTTGAAAATGTCAGCACACCAGGAGCCACGATTTTACAGGATGCTTAAGACTGTCATTCCCTAACAATCCAGTAAGGTATTTTGTGACATTCTGATCATTTCGTTTTGTGATGTTTACAAATGTTGTATTTTCCCTTTAAACCTAACCCTAACCCTGCCAGATGCAGCACAGTGCATCAGGTGGAAAAGCTGGTGCACTTTGATGGAAAATGCTACCAGCCGAGTGCATAAACCGGCCACTTCTGAGACAATGAGAGCTAATCCCATGGAACAATGCCACAGTTGTATCCTGCTGCATTTGGGGACCACAGACTCTGAGGCAGTTTGGCCTTGAGACTTTTTGCCTGATGGATCTTGCTACATTTGGCATGCTTGTCACTTAGACAAGTGTTGCATGTTGCTGCGTTTGGCAGGGTTCTAGCCAAAATACCCTAGAGGGTAAGTGTTAAGTAACAATTGTTTTTCATGAAATGCATTTAAGAATTTTTGTGACTTTGACAGAAAAATTATTGTCTGATTATTTGTCTGGTTTAAAAAAATGTTTTCAACACCCAGTAATACAAAATATTGAATTAAGCAAAGTTAACAAATGGGAGCTAAATTTAGGCAAACATCATCTTGGCACAATCTGACAATCTGTAAAGAAATTATATCCCTCGACCTCCAAACGCCCCTCCCATTTGCATTTTGGACTGAACCAAAGAAAACTACCAGAGAACATACCAATGAATGGTGAGAAGAAGTAAAGTTCAGAGGGGCAAGGAACATACCATTACAGAAGCAGGGGTGAGTAAGGTACTGGAGGTGTAAGACAGACCAGAGGTCATCGCACTTGCCGAAGTGCTCTTTGGTAGGTTGGCTTCACGGATCAAAGCGTTTGCTGTGTCGCCAAGACCTGTCATACAGCAATTCAAAAAAAATTAAAAAATAAAAAAAAAATAAACTATAAAAAACATTTGGTATTCAAACTACTTGGATTCTAGGCTATTCATATTTCTTAGCACGCCAAACCGGAATGCTCATACTTGTTGATTTTATTTTTAAACCCTTTTATGTAGAACTTTGATAGAAAGTTGTTGTAATGTTATGCCTTGTCTGTTTTACTACATCTTCTAAAACACTTCAATTTTGACAAAAATACCATATGTTTACTGTATGGACAGTTCCAGAATGCAGCTCAGTCCACCACAAGCCCAATCACAAGTACATGTAAGGTCACAAAAAACATTCTGTTGACTTCAGACTGAAGGGCTTATGATAATCTTGTGATTGACAAGCAATTGTCCTGTGATTTTCTTGTGATTGACTTGTGATTGACTTGAGATTGTCTTGTGACTGACTTGTTATTGACTTGTGATTGTCTAGTGATTGTGTTTTGATTGTCTTGTGATTGACTTATGACTGTCTTGTGATTGTCTTGTGATTGTCCTGTGATTGTCTTGAATCGTCTTGTGATTGTCTTGTGATTGTCTTGTGGTTGACTTGTGACTGTCTTGTGATTGTCTTATGATTATCCTGTGATTGTCTTGAATGGTCTTGTGATTGTCTTGTGATTGTCTAGTTATTGACTTGTGATTGTCTTTTGATTGTCTTGTGATTGACTAATGATTTTTCTTGTGATTGACTTATGACTGCCTTGTGATTGACTTGTGATTATCTTGTGATTGTCTTGTGATTGACTTGTGATTGACTTAACTACAATTCCGGACATTTCTACAGTGGCAAGCAACCACACTCTCCATGGAAAGCCACACTAATCCTCTCACAAGAAACTGAGCAACCTCTAAATTATTTTGATGAAGAGTCTTTGCCGGTAAGGGTTTGCATTCTGTAATTGGACAGCATCGGCATACCTGTCTGACTGATTACAAATTTAACTCAAAGAGTAATAAGAGTGCAGCATTGGAAAGTACTACAGTTTTTGACAATACAGTATAAAGCATGCACACTCGGGCTATTTAAAAAAAGTTCATGGGAAGGGGTAAACTTCTGAGAACCAACCTTGAGAGACGAGGTGACTGTGGATCAGCTGCAGTAGTTCCTTGTGGGAGTAGGTAATCTTGGTCTGAGCTACGATGTTGGCTTTGTGGAGCTTGGACAGGGTAGCGTCACTGCCTAGAGACATGGGCTTGCCTGTTACTCGCTCTGTAGACACAAAACAAAGAAAGTATCTATACGGAGACGTCTGTAGAGTGAAATGGCCTTTTGTACACACACAATCTTGCGGGTAATTCTGTAGATGGTGGGTTCGAGTCTAGCCTTGGGCAAGATACTTTACCCAAAGCGTCTTCTCCCTAATGGACACCTATGAAGGCAGTGATGGTTACTATGTATGAATTAGCCATATGAAAAGTATTGAACTGCTTACTCCTAAGGGAGTAGAGATGGCATAACAAGGGCGGATCCGGGGGGGGGGAGGGCCAACAGGGGCTAATTTTTTTTTTTTTTCAAGTGACGTCGCAATAAAGGCAGGCACTGCGCACACCACCATCTTTTCCTCAAAAAGATTTAGTTAAAGTGCTCGGAAATTACCTTAGATCGCACCACAGAGCATCTAGAATCAAAAGATTTCCAGGGCCCTTAAGCGGGATCTGAGCCCCACGCTGTAATGTTTGGGACCCACTTTATAGGGATCCATTTTTTTTTTGGCCCCCCCCCCCCAAAAAAATTGTGTTCTGGATCTGCCCTTGTGGTATAACGAATTATACATAGCTAGGCGATTAGATTAGAAATAAGATTTGAAACTTTGCATGGCATGGCGGTAGTGTAAACTAGTGAGGGTTTGCGGTAACACCATGCGGAAGAATCTCTTTTGAGGAGAAAAGACGATCAGAGCATACTGATCAGAACGTCAAGTTCTATTCAGAACGACACTTCTTCTCAAAAGAGATTCTTCCACATGGTGTTACCACAAACCCTCGCAAGATTAGTTTAGAGTTAGCCTACATATACACGATGGACAAAAGTCGGAATGAAAATGCCCCCTTGGAGGTGGCTCTAGACAGGAAAACAGCCAAGAGTATACAACTTTCTGAACTGAAAAGTTTTTTTCCGGGCCCTATAGCTTGCCCTGAAGCTGGCCTGAAGCTGGCCTGAAGCTGAAGCTGAGGGTTTGCAGAATAATGTCTTTTGAGGAGAACAGACGATCAGAGCATACTGATCAGAACATCGAGTTCTATTCAGAACCACACTTCTTCTCAAAAGACATTCTTCCAATGGTGTTACCGCAAACCCTCACCATATTAGTTGGGAATTAGCCTACATAAACAGAATGGACGAAATTCACATTGAAAATGCTCCTGTGGAAGGGTGGCTTTAGACAGGGAATGAGCTAGGAGAATGTGACTTTCTAAAGTGAAAAGAACGCACATGAAATAACACAGTAACTTACCAATGAGCTCTGAAGCGTACCTGCAGAACTTCAAGTGCTCTGACTGCTTGTCTTGTAAGACTGGCTCCTTCACAAGTACTGCAGGGAAGTACAGGATATTGGGTTTAACAAATTTGATGGCGTGATGCTAATCATCTCATTTTTTAGAGAAGTAATTGATTATTAATGAACCACAGTAACAGTGAAAGCTTCCTAATTACAATTTTAATGAGGGTATTACCTGCCATAAATCCTTAATTCAAAATACACATTCCTCCAATTCCTAGTAGTTCCAAGTTTTCCTTTTGCATTAATTATTTAGACTATTTCTCCCTTCAGATCCACAACATATGATTCATTCTTTGTTGTTTTTGAGATTGGTTCTCGGTATAGATGGAAATTGTGTTGGCTTCTCTAGAAGCTACCCATGCATGTGTGGCAACAGGGCCCTAGCTCAGAAAACCTTTTGATTAGAACATCTCAAAAAATTCTTTAGCTCAAAGATGAAGCGAGAAAAAAAAAATGTCTTCTGACCTTGTAGTTGGCCGCTGGAGAATAGCGGGAGTTTACTGACGATCTGCCTGACCACCTCACTCTTGGACAGGCCACACAGGGCTTTGCAGCTCAGCGCACGGATGTAATCAGCCTCAGTGATGGGTGTCTTGATGGTCAGAAGGCTCAGAAGAGTCTGTAAAATAAGGAAAATAGGACGAAGGTTGTAACCTGTTGCAGTAGCAATATAACAGATATGCCACTGATGGAGATTATAGACAAGGGGCGTATATTAACCCTGAACCTCCCAGATCCTTCAAAATACACCAGGAGATTTTAAGCAGATTTTACATGATTTAGAAAAGTAGAGTAAGCCCCTATTCGCTGGAATTCATGACGCACTCAAGAGGTCAACTCGGTGCAACCATGGTTAACGGTTCACGCGCATTGCAACGGCCCAGTGAACACCGTGGTTTGGCTATAACTGTTGTGAATCCGTTATTGATTCTTGATTCTCCTCTTTGGAGCAAAAATAAGAACAATTGTGGTTGTAACTGGTGTGCTGACAATCTGCTGAAAGGCAGTGAACCATTTTCCGGTATTAATTTGTGAAAAGGTTCTATAAAAGTAGAATGTAAAATTGCTGTCTGTGATCGTGTGTGTTAAGCATATGTGAAATTTGTCATTACGGAATGCACGTGAACCGTTGTCAAAGAAGTGAGCCTGACCTAGGGAGGCGACGTCACACTTTCTCAGCGTATTATCTTAAACAGGGCTTGACACCCCTTACAAATTTTAAGTACAAAGAATGTGCCACTGGTTTCCTACACTTTGGAAGATTTGAGCGGTTCTAAAAGGTAAAGCATAATGCCAAGTGATTAAGGGATAAAATCAGGGGTTTTTTAAAACTCACCCTGATTCCATTGTTACTCCGGACGCAGTCCCACATCTTCTCTGTGACATCACTGCTGGTCCGCAGCGCCGTCCGATTCCTCCTGGCACTGCCCTCCGCAAAACGACTGACCGTCACGCCCAGCTGGGATTGATAGGTGAGGAAAGCATATCATCAAAATACCCCAAACAACGCAGCTCAAAACTCCAACCTTCTTTTATATTCTGGCTATCAATCCAAAGTTGTGCAAGGCTTCAGGAAATCTTCATTGCATTTCAACAGCATCAGAAGAGTAAAATATTATTCCAAATGTGAGTAACAAAGTGCATTTATACAAATTTCTATCAATTTTACACCATAAATTGTGATACACCCCAAATACATCTTTCGTCATGTCACGGGTAAATCACAAATCAATTCGCAAGTCCAGTCACAAGTATTGACAATAACAAAAGGGATTGACAGGAGATGGACATAACAAAGGAATGCCTTTGGAACAGTTCACTGGAATAGAGTGTGAGTTGATTGGGTGACTTGTGATGACTTGTGATTGACTTGTGATTGCTTGTGATTGACTTGTGATTGACTTATGAGTGACTTGTGAGTGACTTGTGATTGACTTGTGATGGACTTTGTGATTGACTTGTGATTGACTTGTGATTGACTTGTGATTGACTTGTGATTGAGTTTGTGATTGACTTGTGATTGATTTTGTGATTGACTTGTTATGACTTGTGATTGACTTGTGATTGACTTGTGATTGACTTGTGATTGACTTGTGATTGACTTGTGATTGACTTGTGATTGACTTGTGATGGACTTGTGATGTACTTGTGATTGACTTGTGATTGACTTGTGATGGACTTGTGATTGACTTGTGATTGACTTGTGATTGACTTGTGATGGACTTGTGATGACTTGTGATGGACTTGTGATGGACTTGTGATGACTTGTGATGACTTGTGATGGAATTGAGATGGACTTGTTTTTCTTACCTTGGAGCAAGGCCCACAGACAGAGTTGATGATGACTTGCAGCGCTGCCTTCTGAACCGCAGCGTCCTGCAGTATCTCACCCTCGGCCATACCGTTGATGACGCTGCCATGAAAGGTCAAAGGTCACAGTGGTGAGAACAAACAACAACAACTCATTAACCAATTAAAAACCAAACTGGTCAAGACAGGCAAACTCAGATTGCAGCAAATTTACAAAACTGGATTCAAATAAACAGGGCAGAAAGACTGGCTGAACTTTGCCGACGCTAGTTCATAAGCTGAGACTATCATTTATTTCCATCTCTCGACAGCAGAAGAAACTAAGACAGTTGAAAGCCAGCCAATGTAAGGTGTAGAGCATTCTTAATGCATCTGGCAAGATGTTGCAAGAACTTCCACCCAAGGTTGCATAATAAAATCTTCTGAAGGATCATAACTGAAGAACAGTTCCAGAAACAGTACTGACAATCACCATGAGAAGAGAACAAGATGATGCAAGAACTTCCACTCAAAGTTTCATAATTAAATCTTCTGAAGGATCATAACTGAAGAGCAGTTCCAGAAACAGCACTGCCAATCACCATGAGAAGACAATGAGATGTTGCAAGAAGTTCCGCTCGAAATTTTTCCAACAACTTCTGATGCCTCATAACTGAAGAACAGTTCCAGAAACAGCATCGACAATCACCAAGAGAAGACAACGAGATGTTGCAAGAACTTCCACTCAAAGCTTTCCCAATAACAACTTCTGATGTCTCATAACTGAAGAGCAGTTCCAGAAACAGCACTGACAATCACCATGACAAGACAACAAGATGATGCAAGAACTTCCACTCAAACTTTTCTCAACAACAACATCTGATATCTCATAACTGAAGAACAGTTCCAGAAACAACACTGACAATTTGTTCATGGAAGAGTTCGAGATAATCACCATCGAGACAGTAGACTTAAAACCAGATATGTGGCTACGCTATGTGGACGACACCTTTTGTAGCTTGGCCACACGGCACTGAGGAACTCCACACCTTCCTCGACCACATCAACCAGCAGCACCCACTCATCAAGCTCACCATGGAGCAAGAACAGAACAACACCATAGCTTTCCTCGATGTCCAAGTCACCCGGCAACCTGATGGCTCCATCTCCCACATCGCTCACCACAAGCCAACGCACACCGACCGCTACCGACACAGCACATCCTTCCACCACCTACGCTTTTAAGTCCGCGGTCAGCAACACCCTACTTCGCCGACCCTACAACACCTGCGACCAAGCCCATCTCCAACAAGAGCTCCATCACATCAAGCCCATCTCCAACAAGAGCTCCATCACATCCAGGCATCCCTCCAGTTCAACGGCTACAAGAACATCAGCACCCACAAGCCCAAGCCAGCAACCCCACAAGAACAGCGCCCAAGTTACAACCTCTCCTATGTTTTCATTGGCTTGTTGCCAGTCCAAGGGGTGGCGTACGTGTCTCCCTTCTCTGGCAGCATTGGAGATATGTTGATGTATTAACTGTGCATCCGCTGGTACAATCTGGGAATCGGACAATTGCCACAACACAAATTCAGTAGTCTCTCATCCCGTGATGCCAAACTCACCTCATTCCGACGGAAGACACGTTATCCGGCAGGTCAACCTGGTCGCACAATTGCAATTGGCCCTTGGTCGTCACGGTGATGACGGCTAGGACGTCCAGCGCTGCCCGAATGGCGTCTGCCCTATTTGAGGACGAAATATATATAAAAAAAAATTAAATTCTGTTTAGGCCTTCTGCCATCTTGGTCAGGTTCCTTGAAGCAGGACATGCATAAACCAATATAAACTGGATACCAAATAAAGGTGCAACCTATTCCCAAAAATCGACATCATTCTTGGCTTCTGGATTTTGGAGGAATGAGGCTGAATGGCATAAAAGTGTCGGTTGATTTTGGAGGATGCTTTGTGTCAAGTTCGTCAGCTGTACCAGCATTGTTTATGTTCATTCATGCATGACTGAGCCCTGCATTATGCTCAATATCATCTGCACTGCTTCTGAACATCATCGGCACTGCCTCAACCCATTTTGGAGAATTTTGAAGGATTGATGCAATGGTCATCCCTTCACCGAACAAATTCAAGAAATAACGGATGAATTTGGAGGATTGAGGCTGTATCCAATTTTACATGGGGGCAATTGGAGGATTTTGCAGGATTGAGGATGGTTCCTAGCCAAAAGGGCCTAGGGGTTAGGGTTAAGGAAAGTAGGACTCAGTTACCATATATTTCAGAAGAATTCCAGAACGTTCCAAGTCAAAAAGCTGATGCATCTAGGAACTGTACTAACCTGCCGCTATAGTTCTTCCATTCATTGGCCATTGCAATGATCTGCAACAGAAGCTTGACTCCATCTATCTTGAGGAACACCTTCACCGGTTTCCAGTGCATGTTGGGCGGTGCCTCCTCCAGCATGGTCTCCATGTGTTCACTGGTACTCTCCGCGGTCACCGTGATGGCCTGAAGAAAAACATCCTCGTGAGCCATGGGATTTAACATACTTTTCTAGGGTTGTTTATTTCATAAGTTTTTCACAAACGGGACCAGGCTCTGTATAAGCTTAGGCTTCTTCCTGGTTCCCCCATCTATCACCATTTATCTTTAATTAATCAAATTGTTGCACTAGCATTCTATTAAGTTGAGTTACTGTATTAATTAATTGTTGCATTAGCATTATATTAATTTGTGACAAATGGAAAACAATACAATACAATACAATACAATACAATTTTAAATAATTACAAAACCCGAAAAATAATTATGAAAAAATGAAAAATACTCAAGCTGCTGCAAACTGCTCACTGACTGGATTGACCCCACATTACAAAACCCCTTTCTTCAAAGTAGTCCACCCACACATTTTATTTTGGGGTTTGTTTTGGTTCAACTCAAAATATTGACTGTTCGAGTATACATTTGTGTGCCAGAGTTAACCCTAACCGCCCTGAATCCTTCCAATTCCCCTTTGCCAAAGTGGAGGAATTTGGAGGATTGAGGTTACATGGCAAAAGTGCGTAACTGATTTCGTAGGATGCACTTTGTCAAGGTCTTGGGCCCGACCTTGTGTTGTTTTTGCTCAGCCATGCATAAATATAGGCCTGGATTATGCTTGAAATCCTCCGTACTGCTCCAGGATGTCACTGGCCAAGCCTCAACATATTGACAGTCACTGCCACAGGATTTTGCAGGATTCAGGCAGGTCACCCCTCAACAGACCATATTCAAGAAAATAATGGAGGAATTTGCATGATTTTCCATGAGGCCAATTTGAGGATTTTGCAGGATTGAGGCTACATCCTACCAAAAAGGCCTAGGGAGTTAGGGTTAAGGATTATTTCAAAAAGATGAGTCATGACGTGACTCTTTTTTTTTTTTTTTTATCAAATTTCAGGGGACTCCAAATCAGATTCCAACCCGAGTATTATCAGGAAGAATGAATCAGCCTCGTACTCAACCTCTGTAACTCACAACTCTTACTCAGTCTCAACACTGGTAACTCAGAAACACGATTGAGGTATTTGCATACAAGTCTACAATCACATGCAAATGGCCTTGTTCCCCTCCCTCTCTGGATGAGAAATTCAACAAAAACTATCCCAGCAGCCAAAATAAATCCAGAGAGTGTTGAGTGCTCCCTGCCTACATGAAGAAGGATTGACTAGCTGTGATTGTTCATGTAACCTGATATAGCTATGCTTTGACTGTAGGTGATTGATAAGCCAGCTGTACCTGCCAGGTACTTGTTTTTGTCTGTTGATGGAATTTGACTGTCACAGTGCTTACAAGAAATTTGATCTGACTGTTGGTGACTAGCCGTGTATTATGGGAGGGGACATGGATTGAATTTCTCACTGTCTGTGCCTGATCAATACGTAGAGTTAGATGATCTCAATACTCAATTCTTTCCCACCTTGAAGGGGGGCGTACCGTCTGGCGGCATCAGGCCTTGGTTCTTGGAGTAAGCCCTCTTGATGCTGTCCACCCTGACAGCCAGGTGGGTCTCAAAGTACTTCTTGAGGGTCAGGCAGGTGTGCTTGACGGTCTGCCGGCTGGCAAAGATGTCGTCGTCGCTCAGCAGCATACCTTGGTCTTCCAGGTTCAAGATGTTCAGGGTGCTCATCTGATCAGAAACAGAAAAACAACACAAATATTTCACTTTTGATTTGTTCTGAATTTTAGCAAAATCAAGAGGGCGACATAAGACACACAAGTGCTCACGCAAAACGAAAGCACAAAGTCAGCTTTGATCTGTCATACACAAAGTGTCAAATTTTTTCACTAGCTTTAAATGCATTTTTCTTTTTGTGTGGGTTGTTTTTTTATGCTCAAGCTGTTGATCACACAAGTGTTTACAAATGAAGAAAACTCCACGCAAAGAAGAGATTAACCCTAATCCCCGAGGCCCTTTTTGCTGGGAACCATCCTCAATCCTCAAAAATTTTGCACTTATGTTTAAATGAAGGATAGCCACTGCCTCAATCCTTCAAAATCCTCCAACAGCCCTGCTCTCAAAGTGCATTCAGCCTCAATCCTTCAAAATCCTCCATTTCTTCAAACACCGTGCATCCTCAATCCTCCAAAATCAGCCGATACTGAATGTCCATGTGCTCTCAATCCTCCACAATCCTCCAAAATTGTATGTTGCATTCATCCTCAATCCTCCAAAACCGCCCAGAGGACTTTGGAGGAATGAGGAAGATTAGGATTACAGGCCAGTTCATAGTTCCCATGAAAGCGAAATCAAAGCGAATTTCATATCAACAATTGCAGTTTCGTTGTGACGGTCGCCGTTACTCCAACAAATTCGTCTTGCACTGAAATTTGCGTGAAGCGTGAAGTAGTCTTTAGAAGATCAACATGTAATCTCTTACTGTGTTGAAGAGTTTGCGGATCCCGTCCTGTTGGTCAAAGTGTTCCAGGACAGTCCAGAAGCTGAAAGCCATGGTGAAGAACATGGTAGCATGGCTGCGACCAGACTCATGGGAGCATTCTAGAAGCCACAGGGCATATCTGCAGAGGGAACAATGTATAGTGGGAGGAGTTAGTATAAGAACACGGGGCATGGCTGCGACCAGACTCATGGGAGCATTCTAGAAGCCACAGGGCATATCTGCAGAGGGAACAATGTATAGTGGGAGGAGTTAGTATCAGAACATGAGGGCATGGCTGCGACCAGACTCATGGGAGCATTCTAGAAGCCACAGGGCATAACTGCAGAGGGAACAATGTATAGTGGGAGGAGTTAGTATAAGAACATGGGGCATGGCTGCGACCAGACTCATGGGAGCATTCTAGAAGCCACAGGGCATATCTGCAGAGGGAACAATGTATAGTGGGAGGAGTTAGTATAAGAACACGGGGCATGGCTGCGACCAGACTCATGGGAGCATTCTAGAAGCCACAGGGCATAACTGCAGAGGGAACAATGTATAGTGGGAGGAGTTAGTATAAGAACATGGGGCATGGCTGCGACCAGACTCATGGGAGCATTCTAGAAGCCACAGGGCATATCTGCAGAGGGAACAATGTATAGTGGGAGGAGTTAGTATAAGAACACGGGGCATGGCTGCGACCAGACTCATGGGAGCATTCTAGAAGCCACAGGGCATATCTGCAGAGGGAACAATGTATAGTGGGAGGAGTTAGTATCAGAACATGAGGGCATGGCTGCGACCAGACTCGTGGGAGCATTCTAGAAGCCACAGGGCATAACTGCAGAGGGAAACAGTGGGAGGAGTTAGCATAAGAAAATGGGGGTGTGGCTAAGCCAAGACTCATGGGAGGATTCTAAGAGCCACAGGGCATATCTGAGGAGGGGAAAACAGAGGAGTTGGTATAAGAAAATAGGGGTGTGGCTAGGCCAAGACTCATGTGAGCATTCTGGGAGCCACAGGGCATATCTGAGGAGGGGAAAACAGTGGGAGGAGTTAGTATGTGAACATTAGGGTGTGGCTACAAGAAGACGGACAAAATTATGTGACATACACAGAGCAAAGGCAGGAAGCTGATTGCGATGGTTCACAATACAGACCCCTTTGTAACTCCAGGCTTAACTTCTTCAAAATGCTGCCCGCCCCCTCCTGTTTTCATTATTCATGTGCAGTATTACACATGCACAAACTACTTTTAAAAGCCTGGTTGGTGAAAACTCATCATGCACAGAGATAAATTTCAAATTTAAGAGCCTACGTCCAACAAATCGTAAACTTTCTGAATTTTGTTCGACTAATGCTAAATGACTCGATGTTTGGCAAAGTTTACAAATCAATGTTGACCTTCAATGTCTTCCCATAATGCACTGCTGGTATAACCAAATTTGTGCCTTCAATGGAAGCGCTTGTGTGAATTGTGAATTTTACAAATGACCTCGACCAACCACCTTGGAAAGTTTCTCAACGATTTATTTTTTTTCCCGGAAACTTTAAGATTGGAAATAGGAAATCACAGCACCCACCCTTTCCCTTCCTTTCACTCGCCCTCAACTCACCCAATGAGATTTGAGATGACCTGGTTAGGCAGTAGGCATATTCTCTCCATGGTGTCGGCGTTATAGGCCAGGTAATACAGGCACATGGATACCCCTGTGGCTGCGATGGACGGCCGGTGAACCTGGAGGAGTTGCTGAACACCGCCCCGCTCCACGAACTCCACTGCAAACTTCTTGTGGCAGATGAGTGACGACAAGTACTGGAGAATTGGGAGAGGAAAATCTGGAAATTTAAATTCTCCTTTTATAGCGGTTTTGTAGATGTGGGCGGGAAAGGGGGGGGGGGGTAGTCTGTGGATTAGACATTCATTTTGGCAGAACCACGTTGAACGTCTGATATATCATAGCATGTTCATCTTATGTGACCCTGCGTGCCCGCCAATTGGAATGGTCTAATAGAGACTGTGACGCCATTTCGATCCGAAATGTGGACTAACAGGCATGCAACTGAGAAGTCACAAAAAAGAGGACATTCAAATCTTTCCAAGACTTTGTACAGAGTTTTTCTACTTTTTAATGGCACACATGGGAAAAAAGAGAGGAATCAGGTGATCGAAGGATAACTTGCATGCCTGACTAAGCTGTGGACACGTCAATTTTGATGCCATGTTTTTTTATTAATACAACAACAGGTTAAGGAAGACCTGATGGAAGGCGCCCGCTAAATGGTTTGAATCTCAAGGTCAGGACGCAGTCTTGTTTTGCATAATTAATCGCCGAATCTGCTCGCATATCATAGACCATTGCTGTGCAAGGGGATATTCCATAGACTACATGGGGGTGAGGGAGAAAGTTGTAACTGATGGCTTTTTCAAATACTCGGGATTTTTAACATGAATCACATTTTGAGGACTTTTTAAAATTCAGTTACTAGTATGTAAAATGATTAATTCTGTTCAAACATCCAACACATGCCCAATTTAAAACAATGGCAACACAGCTGCATAGAAAACTACTCAAAGAAATTATCCTGATAAATAAGAATGTGAAGTTTTGGTAAGAATTTTACCTTAAGACCATCAAATGTCAACCGTGTATCCCCAGACTTCTGTAGGTCGATGTAATGCATGACAATATCCATGGCTCCATTCTCAAACATGGTACCGAGCAACTGAGAAAAAGACAATCAAAAGATCAAAGACGATTGTAAGGCAGAGCACTGACATGGCCAGACACAAAAAAGTAAATAATCCAGCAATGTAAAAATTTCTATTATTGAAAAATTGATTTTACTTCCACTGCCTCTAACATAAATCTGCATCCGAGACATAAATTCTCTTTCTATGGGCAGTCCAATATAAAAATTAAAAAGACAACAAATGAAAGGTAGGCACCACAAGAAAAAAAAAGTTACTTGGAAAGTACAAAGAAGTAAGACTATTTGATTGAACTTCTTTGATGCACTTATTAAAAACAACTGGGGCAGGTTTGAATAAACACTCAGTACTTATCTAGCCCAACACTGGCAGAAACACAAAGATACCAAACAAAAATTTTGAATATTCACTCTGAGCAAGATCAATCAAGAACCACTGATGCTTGTTGATTTCTGACATGTCTAACACCTGAACTCTAGTATAAAAAAAGTTATCATGATACTCCACAGTTAATAAGCCATTTGCGAGTTAAATTTGAATAAAATCTGGAACGCTGACTTAATCCAATGCTTTGCACGTTTTACTTTGCATTCTCCCGACCAAAGAGACTGTTACTTAATCACATGATTCGGGGCAAGCCTTATTCTAGCATCCCCCAGTTTCGGAATGGTCTGGTGTCTTTGTGCCATTCTCACCTATGGGAACAATGTATTGATGCTGAGCGTCTCTTACGTAACTATGCAAGAGCTTGCCCCGAATCATGTGATTAGCAACAGTGTCTTTGGTCTGGAGAATTCAAAGTTAAAATGTGCCAAGCTTTCTGAGCAAGTCAATGTACCAGACTTTTTCAAATTTAAATCCCAAAGGGTATAGGTCACTCGCAAATGGCTTATTGGCATGAATTTTATGAAGGTTAGTCAAAACTATGGCTAATCACAGTTCATGGGAAAATTTGCTCTTTAACGAATCAAATATGCACATTGAACTGACCTCCTGGTACTCCGCCAATGGCGTCAGATACTGCAGTATAAACCGCTGCTGCATGACGGAGGTCAATGGGTACATCTGATGGGTACCGATGATGTAATAAGACAGCTCACACCAGCTGCTGTTGCTCTCCTCCGGGTAGCTCGACCGCTTCTCAAGCTGCGGCGTCTTGCCCTTCTTGGTCCTCTTCGCACTCTTGGCAGCCGCAGACTTCTTGGTCTTGGCAGCTGGGGTGTTGCGAGTGGCATCCCTGGCTTGCGGGTTGCTCTCCCCGCCCTTGCCACTGCCACGGCGAATTCTGTTACTAGTCAAGTTTCCTGAGGTCTGGGCATCTTTGGAAATCGCAGAAGCAGTTGAGGTACTGGCATCCATCTCGCCTTCCGGTTTGAGGTCCTGGGACACATTTTCGGCAACTACTAGCACTGGCTGATCGTTCTCCGAAGCTGCTGTAATTGTCGGCTCGGTCAAACCGTTTCTATCTTTGGGAAGCCCAGCGGGATAGTCTGTGCCGTCCCTCTCAGGACTGGCGGTGATTTCCTCATCTAGTTTCAGACGCTTCTCTGGTGGGACCTCATCGCGCTGGGTGTCCGGGCTGTTCTCTTTGCTCTGGCCGAAGCAACCGAACGGCCGGTCATCCTTGGAGCTCGAGGAGCAGCCGGAGGAGGTGTCATCCTCAAGACTTTGCTTCATGAGCTGATGGAGCCTGCTCATCATCACGCTGACCTTTGAATGAAGGATAAACAAAAGCGTCAACACAATTTTTTTTATAACTCGGCCTTATAGCAAAATTGTACTGTATCTTTAAATTTTGGTTGGAGACAAACACAAACTGTTCAACGTGCTTTTCACACTTTAAGCACTAAAACCTTGGTCAAATAAAAATCTGGCTCCCATCTCATCAATTTCATCAAGATAAAATCTACTTAACCGTTGTACCATTTTGGTGATTACCAATGTACTAACAGAATTCTTTTTTTAACTGTGCAGTACTATAAAGGACACTACACAATTGGACTTAAGACAGTGGCTATGTATAAGCCACTATCTTCACTGGCTTACCAGTGATGCGTTCTCCTCTCTCAGGTTAGCGGCTACCTCCTGCACCTCAATGGCTGTGGCTAGCAGGCCGGTGGCGTATGATCGTAGGGGCTCCTCTGCATCCCTTGCCCAATTCACAAACTTCTCCACCAGTCCATCCTGCAGACAGAACACATTCAAATAAAGCTCAATTCCGTCTATGAGCTCCGTGCGCTAACAAAAGAGGGCACCCCTTTACCTAACAACGACGTCCCATGGGCGGGACATTTAGCTGGTTGATGCGCACCGTTCCTTGTGTGCGACGCACGTACACCAGGGGATTTGTACAATGTACACGCAGAGGTACGGCCGCTCGTAGCGGCAATATTGCAGTCAGGCAAGATGGCGTCGGTCGGTCACCCCCAACTGTACTTCCTTTGCCAGCGAGGGGGTACTTGTGAATGGAGCGGATAACCAGTGCTCAAAAGGAAATGCTTTTGTTCATTTGTTTGTTTTGAGTAAAATTTTTAAAAAGACAAAAAATATGCTTCATTTTGATAATAAAATCATGGACTTCTCCAGAATTTTTTTTACACTATTATGTATGTTTTATTGTTTAACCCTAACTCCCCAGGTATTTTTGAAAGGGATGCAACCTCAATCCTTCAAAAAGCTCAAACTGCCTTCATTTAAAAATTGCATACAGCCTCAATCTTCCAAAATCATTGGTTATTTCTTGAATGTGGTCCTTGGAGGGGTGACCACTGACTCAATCCTGCAAAATCCTCTGGCAATTGCTGTCAATATGTTGAGGCAGAGCCAGTGACATCCTGGAGCAGTGCAGAGGATTTTAAGGCCAAAAAAAATAATACTTCTGCTTTCGGTTACCTGACCGACCCTATTTTTAGGCCTCGACCCTAAAAATTTTATCGGCAATTCCAAAAAAAAAAAAAAATAATGATTGAATAAATAAAAATAAAAGCTTGTTGTCTTTTCTTTCTTCACAAAATACCTCTCAACAATCCATTTGCATAAAAAAATGCTAGTATGTATTTGTTTTCTTACTTACATTCGCTATTTTTTTTTCAAAAGAAACCAAATTTGCTTCGCGATCTGTCATCATACCTCGCAATTCAATGTCATGGTGACTATAATCACGTGCGTAAACCTTGCTCAATGCAGTGACGACTGGTTCCCGCCGCGCCGCGCAGGGGCCAATTTAGAAGACATGATGAAAGTGCGGTAACCAGTCTGTCATGGCTATGCGATTGCTAGCGCTAGCATGGCTATGCATAAGGCATGTGCACTGTCAGTGTCAACTGGTCGGATTCGACATCGCAAAAATGCCTGGAAAAAACAGATGGAGAAAGAACATTTTTGCAAGTTAATTCACAGAATTGATCTAGCTTGTCTGTGTGTGTATTTTCCGTGTTCAAGAGTTCATTTTGAGATCGCACTACTCGTATTTGGAGTGATACATGCAGCGTGTTTCCCGAAATTTTTGGCAGTAAAACAGGTCTGTCGGCCACGGGCCACACATGCACAGTGCATCACACACTTCAGAGTGTTGGCCAGCTTCCCGTCTTGACTAGCGTTGTGCATATGATGCGAACGGCCTGAATTTTCCATTATATTTTTAGAATTATCGAATGTAAATATTTTGACAATAATTAAGGTAGGTTTTAGTCACTTTTTGTGGCCATTTTGTGTATAGCTTTCGTAGTACAATGGAAATAGTTCAGGCTAAAACTTCGCATATAATTGAGTACCCCATTCAATCTGAATAAAAAATTATTGGCCAAAAAAACACATTTTGCGACCGACCGACCCTATTTTTGAAAGGCATGTAATCGGAAGCAGAACTAATTTTTTTCGGCCTAAGCATAATCCAGGCCTAAATATATGCACGGCTGAGCATAAACAACACAAGGTCTGGCCTTGGACCTTGACACAGTGCATTCTCCAAAATCAGCCACACAATTTTGCCATATAGCCTCAATCCTGCAACTTCCTCCATTTTGCAAAGAGCACTTTGGAGGGGTTGGGAAGATACAAAAGAGGTAAAAACTAGTAATGCACTGCAAAAATACCAGCAAAAAAAACCACCAAAAAATATATGTTCTTTTGTCTTACATAAACTATATCTCAATTTCTTAGCTCAAAAAACCCCCAAGAATTAACAAACACAAGAAATATCATAATTTTCAAAGGGCTGAAACTTTTGCGAACCGTTTGGATATTTTAATCTAACCTCTTGGTCTAAATGCTATACTAATAATGTTTCAATATTTGTTAGACTCTGAAAAAGACTGGACTACATGACTGATATTTACCGTATCTTCAAAGATGATGGAAGTCTCCAGGCCCGGCAGGACATCCAGCAGTAATCGGCAGGCCACCGTGTTGGTGTTGAAATCTCTGGACAGCATGATGTGGTCAGTTACAAGCTGAGGATGTTGTTGTGTCAAGAAAGAATTTAACTTAATACACATATCACTGGCTTGAGGGTCTGGTTTCAGTCTTATTGTTTATTTTCAGTGAGACTTTTTATCCTAATCCTAAGTGTCTGTGTATCTTCCAAACTATGCATTTCCTTTTGATTATTTCTGGATTTTTGTCAGTTTCCGTTTTTATCAATGTTGTGGTGACTGACAGTCTTGTGTTCTTTTCCTAACTGATTTTAAGCTTTTAATGTATTTTTATTAACCCTGACTCTCCAGCATAATTTACTAGGAACCATACCCATCCAGGCAAATTCCAACACCCACATGGGAAATCATACACACACACTGTTGGACTTAGTTTCTGGAGGTATGCCAAACCCAATGTAAAAGACTATCAGTTTAGGGGTACTGTACCCATTCTAACAGATTTCAACAACACCTGCAGTTGGGCTTTGATGGGTTGAGTTCGGTTAGGGTTTAAGTCCCATTTGTGGCGTTAAAGGGCTATGCAATCTGATTTTGTTAATCCCATCCTTGAAAATGCACCTCTGTGTCCCATTTAACCTTATTTTCAATTCTCGTTTAGCCATTTTGAAGGGTGTTTTGATGGCTTTTGGGTTTTTTTATGCTAATGCAAATGTCCATATTCATGAGCAAAACTGTGATGACATTTCAGGCAGAAACCTCCATGTTACAGCTATTTCAGCACAAAAAAAGTTGCTTTTTTTGGTGTCAGATTCGAAGGTGTGTAAGTACATGGCAGTATTCCATTGAGCAAATTTTTTTCCACAAATGTTTTCTATGAGCAAATTTTGGATTCACAATTTGAACAGAAAACCCCTTCCTGAAATGACATCACTGCAACAGCGCCCACAGTTGTCTGGAAAAGCATGGGAAATTTTAAATGTTGAAAGCAGTGCACTTTTCAATAAAATTAACCAAAAAGGGATGTCAAATAGTTTTCATACATTTAAGAAGAGTAGAAAGTTGCATAAAATGTGTTCCTAAGAAAAGTTCATCGCATGGCCCCTTTAAATGAAACAAGCAATGGAAATTCAGCTCATCTTGTTTTCATGCACATTACCATGTGTTGCAACAATACATACAAGATCGTAATACATGTACTTGTTTTTTATTGGTGACAAGAAAGTGGTACTTTTTCAATTATTAGCAAATCCTTTCATCAATGCATGTAAGAGGGCGCTATTTTGCTTTTGTCACACAAGGTACTCCTTGTCAAAAGTGCATATGAACAGTACACAAATTAGTCCTTCAAAATTACCCACAAAAAAATGTTTTGAAGAAATATTGGCCACAACTATTGTCCAAGCTGTTTAACATGATAAACAAGTAAAAAGTGGAACTTACTCCAAGAAAATGAAGAAAAGTTTGATATATATTTGTACACAAAGCTATAGAGACACTACTGTTCTACCTTGAATGACATCACGCTTTGGCTCACGAATATGGAAATTTTCATTAGCATAAAAACTAAAATGTTGAAATTTCTCCCTTTTACTGCTACAAAGGAGGTGGAAAGTCATAGTTACATGGCAAGAAAGCTGTTTTAATTGCATTTAAGTCATAAAAATCCTATAGCATGTTTCCTTTACGTCTATGTGTGCAACTTGTGCTTCTGTCTCATTATTTGTCTATTCTCTTTGAAACTGTCTGTATAATTTTGTTTAGCCCAAAACAGTCCCACTACAGTGAAATCTGGAGAAGTCAAACTTCAGGGGAATTGGCTCAAATTTTGAGTAAAAGCAGACTTTTTGAGTTAGCAAATAGATTTTCTTTTCAACAACAACTGACGGAAATAAGTTTTTACTTTGACTTCGAAGGGTTTTCGAGTTAGCAGGTTTGATTTATCAAGATTTCACTGTATTTCCATAAACACAGAGAGTTTCACGAAATGTTTATTTAATTAAAGAGTCCTTTCAACCACAACTCTGAGGTCTCACACTCAACGAAACCCACCTGATTCATAAAGTCATCTTTGTTAAACAGCACGGTCATGAGATGACCCAGATTACAGTCTGGGTCGACCCTAGCCGGGTGCCGATCATCAAACGGGTCCTGGTCCAACTTGATGTAGTTATCTGTCTCCTTCTCCACGATCTCACACATCCTGCAAGGCGAGGATTGGACAAAAATTAACAAACCCCACTACTGGAAATTTATGAAAGATTTACTGTCCATGTTCTTCAAAACACTGATTTTGAAACTCAAAAATAGTACAGACATTTTAAATATATTTTAAGGTAATTTTACAAATATTTGCTATTGCTGCAATTTTCAGAAGTGGGTGGATTTGGGGGGTTGGTATTTTATAGCAAATATTAGTACACTGACTTCCTGTTTAAAGTTTTATGTTCATAGATGCGGGAAACCCAATAAAAAATTGTGTTCTTGTAGTCTGGTTCTGTGACCCTATCCAGATGAAACAGAGCAATTTAGCAATTTATAGACCTTGGGGTCAGGGAACCAGACAGGCTGGCTTGCAACCAATTGCCAAAAAAAGGAAATAACTAAATTTGGTAAATTCGGGGCGGTATTCCAAAAAAGTGAGTTTTTTCCAACGATTGATACTAAATTCCACATTTCTTAAAAATGACAGCACACCAGATGCCACAAATTCACAGGATGCTTGAGACTATTATTCAATTGCTATTCATGTCTTCAATCAGCGAGGCAATATTTAGTTTAATTTTTGTAGACATTTATTATCATTTAGATTGTGCTCTTGATACACCTTTCCTATACTATAATTACTTTTTGTATATTGAAATGCTATGTGACCATATGATGATTGTTGACGACAGTTTTGGGTGCTCCGATTAACGAAGGCTAGTCCTTCTCTGGATGGCACCCCATTCATACTCTAATTCTGCTTATTATTTAACTACATTTATTTATATTACACTATGTAAACTGTTGCTTATGTATGTATGAATGGAAATAAAACAAACAAACTTACAGTCAAGTAAGGTATTTCATAATGATTTGGTGGGTTTTTTATGTTTGCAAATGTTGTATGTTACTTTTAAGAACAGAAATGCAACTGAAATGCAAGTAAAATTGTTAGGTCTTATTCCTGGACTTCAGTACCTAGTCAGGATTGCCAGTGATGCCGTGGAGCCACGCTCCTTTCCCCATCTCTCCAAGAGTGTGGCAAACTCCTTCCTGGAATCTTCCGCTGACTCCTCCTTCATCTCAGTCTTCCTGCAATTGAATACCACCAAATAATTTGAAGTCAACAAAAAATGTTATTTCATTGTTGAGTTGTGCAGCAAAGCCTATAATTTATAAACTGGGCATTAACCCTAACTCCCTAGGCCTTTTTGCTAGGATGTAGCCTCAATCCTGCAAAATCCTCCAATTGGCCTCATGGAAAAATAGCATACATAGCCTCAATCCTGCAAATTCCTAATTTCTTGAATATGGTCCGTGGAGAGGTGACCACTGCCTGAATCCTGCCAAATCCTCCGGCTATGTCTGTCAATAGGCCGAGGCAGAGGCAGTGACATCCTGGAGCAGTGCGGAGGATTTCAAGTATAATCTAGGCCTAGATTTATGCACGGCAGAGCATAAACAACACAAGGTCCAGCCCAAGACATTGACACAATGCGTCTTCCGAAATCAGCAACGCACTTTTGCCATGTAGCCTCAATCCTGCAAATTCCTCCAATTTGCAAAAAGGATTTGGAAGATTTTGGATGGTTAGGGTTAAAGACAGAATGAACAGTTGATTCACAGGTTGACTGTTACCTATGCATGCACAAAATGAATTACTAGGAATATAAAAAAAAAAAAAAAAAAAAAAACCATTATCCAATCCAGACTGGAACCTTAAGTGCAGAAAAACATGCCAAACAAAATCAGGCCAACTTTACTAACTCTTTAGCTGACAAAATTCTCCAAAAAATTCATGAGGCAAAGACAAGGTCCTCAGTATTTCACCAGCCAAGTTTGAAGTCTCAATTCAGTTTTATAAAGGAGACTTTACTTAACATTTTGCACCTGAGAGTGAAGCCAAGTGATTTCATTTTGAAGCCTAAGACTAGACTGGTATGTGTCCAACTGTTTGAAAAGATTGACCCTTCAGTGGTCTGGTGGCAGACTATGGAGAGATGTGTAGAAATAGACCGGTACCAGATGCTTCTGTTGACACAGATGATTGATGCAGTACTAAACGGTGTTGGACTGGTTGTTTCATGTGCCAGTCTAATTTTTGTGTTGCATTTTTTTCAGTTCCTTAAAGGTGTAGTCCATCATTTGCAGCCATCCGAAAAGTAACTGGCGTAATTATTGTTGAAAAACAAACTTGGTTGAAAGAAAGATAAACTCCCTGTGAAATTATTCTTTCTGGGAAGCTGTCATTTTGAAGTAATCAACGAAAGAAGGCATTTCCAACGGTGATTCTTAAGAAGCACCGTAGGAAAATTTAAATTAGTAGTTCGTTTTGTTATTCAGCGCAGCGCGCACAAGTATTGGAACGACGCACACGCGCGCGCGGTTGTTATAATTCGTCGGATCAGAGCGCGACGTCGCGTATAGCTGCAATTCAAAACAATTCAAAACATGATTCAGTAACTTTGGATTTGAAATTGAGATCTTAGAATGCTGTTTTTCTCGGAATGTACAGCTGAAGCTGAGCTGAAACTTCATCAGGTTAGTTGCTCAGTATCCTTCATTAGATTTTGAACTCTTTTGTTGCTTCAAACGAACAAAATGCACAAATTACAAATGATGGACTGTAGCTTTAAGTTTTGGTAGCCGAGTAACTTTGGACTCAACTTACCGCCTTTGTTTGGGACATGGTCTGGTGATAGTCTATAGATAATCAGACCATGTCCCAATGTTAAAAATGGTGATAAGTTAGTAGGGTCCAAGTTACTCAGACTAAAGTTTTTGGACTAGTCATACACAGTATTGAGAGTCCCAAATTTTCGGACTAGGTTTTACACACAACCACCCACCCACCCAGCCTATTTTTTTTTCAATGTAGGACCAAATAGAAAACACAACATTTTTTCTCGGCCTTAAAATTTAAATGAACACATATCACATTTAAAGGAAAGAATGCTTGCAATTGCAACCTGATGCCAATATTATAAATATCATCTCAATAAAGGTCAATCATTGCAAAAATTGTTGGGAAAGACCTGAATTTGGGACTGAGAAACATAACCAACATGACCAATTTTATTAGGAAATGCTGAGGAAATTTTCTTGACTCTCCATAGCCATGGACTTTGTACACAACCGCTGTGAAGTGGCATCTGGATACTACATTCTTGCCCATCATGCCCATTAAATTTCAAATTGATATTGATAATAATTGATATGCAAAGCAAAATCAAAACCCTTCACTTCAGTAAATTGAGAAACATCATCACATGTTAACACGGTTAAAAACTCAGTCAAGGCAAGCTTAACATGCTAGTTAAACATTCTTTACTCAGTCTAGGACTAGGTAAACAACCAAGAAATGATTACGCAACTTTTTAACCTGTAAACAGCGCCCTCTACCAGTCTACAGACTTACTGCATTTCACCACCTGACCACATTGCCTTCTCTTTTGACATGTAAAATTACATTATTTTAAACGAAATCAATATTTCACACAATCGTTCATATAAACTACGACTCATTTTTAACTTTCTGTTTACACAAAAACCCACAAAAGTAGATCTTTACCCTCATAAAATCACAAGAAATGTTCCAACCGCGTGGTTTGTGATCACCGATGCACACTTTAACCAAGAAATCTGGCACCTGCATCCTCTAATTTGAACCCCATCGAAAACACAGGAAGATTGACACGTTTGACAACTTGAGTAGAGAACCCGACTATCCTCAAAGGTTTTTGACAAAAGAGGGCGCACTAAGCTAAACAAAAAATGAAGCACCATGAGCCTGTCAACTTTTGCTCGAAATTTCTGTCGATCTGTGCCTTTGTTGCGATCTTCGTCGCCATCTATTATTCAAGGGATTCAGCCGGCGAGAACGCAGAGGATCAGGGTGTGTAAACCTGTTGCAATTGTTACAGTTGTACGGCGTAAGTTTATATGCGTGTTCACTAACCCAAAAAATCCAACAAAATAAAACAAATGCTTGATTTAACACATGAGGGCGCTATTCAAGGAAATAGTATTACAAAACACGACCTCTTGAGTCTTGCACCGTCCTTGTGTTGTCAATTCAAAGATTAATGTCAATTGTCATGAGACTGATGTCACAAGACAAAATTGAAATAACAATAACAAGTGGCTGATTTAGTGATTTTGCATTTTTGTTAAATAGGACCCTATAGGGAAATTTTTGCGATAAAGTATTCTCTTTCTAAAGTTTGACTGACTTGTAAGTTGTTGAAGAATTATCCTGCATTGATTGACTTGTCATTTTGTCAATTGATTAAACAATTGAACACCTGTTGCTGGGACGAAAGATGGGAGCCTCACAGTCGGAAGGTAATTCAAAAGGCAGTGGATACTTTGGCCTGACCGACAATATATCTCCTAAAGCTATTTTGCTGTGAGTGCGCTGATTGGCTGTTTCGATGGGAAAGTTGTGATTATTCATGAGAAAAGTGAATGACGTCACATATTTAGTTTGTATGTACCTAGACAACTAGTTGAATGTTACGGTATATTATTTATTATTTATTAAAGCATTTTTTTATTAAATGACTGACATTGAGCGAGTGACACAGTACTGTAGTCTAGTGGATAGTGAGATTAGCTAGCCTATGGATCGAAAGATTCCTGGTTCAAATCCACCAATGCCCATTTTTTATCTACTAATCTCCAAATTTATAGTTGGGATAGTGGTAATCGTTACATGTACTTAGGACCCCGTTCCTATAACGTTACAAGAGACTAACTTTTTTATTCCGCTCAATTTTGAAACTTCCCACAAAATGTGTATTATTTCAAAATTTGTGTTTCAGCCTTGGGAATATTCATATTTTACTAAATGGCACTGGAATTTTTTTATCATTTTGTAACAGCAAGAGGAGAAAATGTAACAATCATTGCATTCTGTGCTTGTTGCTGCCATGACACAATGAAAGCCCGATGCTGATTGGCTGATAAAAAAAAAATTGTATTTTTATATCAGCCAATCAGCATCAAGCTTTCATTGTGTACGGCACTGTCGCCAACTTGGTGTTCAAGTGTGTTTTCTGGTTGTCAACGTCGTCTTTTACCCCGTAATTTCCCTCATAAATCAAAGCCCTGCCTTCTTTCCACAAAATTAAACCTGCTGATATTCAAGAAGGTGTCATACCAGCTGTTCGGACGTGTCAAGAAATATCAGAATGTCCCTTTTGAGTGTCATTCAGTTCAGTCAGCTAATTCAGTGAGTCTTAACCTTATATACATTTGTACATGTAGGAACGAGGTCCTAAAGATAACAATCAGCAGGATAGTTTTAAAAAATGGAGGGTGTCTTGCAGTGATTCCATCGAAACTACTGACATTGGTTCTCAGAGCACACTCACAGCTGAATTGCCGGGCACAGCAAAATATCCACTGCCAATTAAAAATGTATCATGAATATGAAATTAATCACCGTAATGCTCAGGAAAGAATGTGATATTCAGAGATGCCATTTTGTCAGCCGTGAACAAGTTCAAGATATTTCAAGTTCAACGAATTTGGACATGATACTTTTTTTAAAACAAATGTTCAACGATTGACTGTACAGTTTGTACATGTATACAAATGTTAAGGTATAATTTTTTTTCCCCCCAACTTTCACTCGGGAGGTAACACACTGAGTATACAGTGTTTAAACGTCGGTGAAGGGCAAAACCTAATTTGATTTATATCACCCCGACGCAAAATTCCATCTTATAATTAAGGTATCATGTTGCACCAAAGTTAATGTTTTCAAGGAGTACAGCAGTACAGCTCTAAGCTTGACTGACTGAGTGTTTCAAAGAAGATGAAGTTTATAACTGTGTAATGAAAAGAGTCACACATTCTTGTTTTGTAGTTGTGGGTACATACATGTACACTCGTCTCTATGGGGTATTTGTGGGGACCAAAAATGCTGTGGGGGACATCAGAAAGTCCCCACAACTCGGTCCTGATTTGCCTTTAGAATAGAAAACTTTCCCATGACGTGGTGTAGGCCGACCCACTGTTGCAGACTAAACCTAGCTTTTCAGGGTATTTTTGCAGGAAGCTTCCTAGAATCGTGAAAATCCTCCACCGTGCTTGAAGTTGTACCAATGAATTTATACCAGTATCTATGTATTTTCATTTTCAATTAGCATCAAGTCCCATGTAATAAATGTAGATGTAGTGTCAGGCTACATTTCCGAATCCTGCAAAAGCCTCCCAAGAGTTTGGATGGATTGGAAGGATCTGAGAAATTGTTAGGGTCATTGCAAGGTTATGAATTTGTTTTTGGTCAGGACTTGTAAGTGAACTTTTGATTCGAGGATATTTGGTTAAAGCCAGTGTCCATCATTTGCTGCTATCCAAAAAGTAACTGGTGTAATTATTGTTGAAAAACATACTGGTTGCAAGATAGTAAGGGGACTAAACTCCCTGTGAAATTATTCTTTCTGGCAAGCTGTCATTTTGAAGAAATCAACGAAAGAAGGCCTTTCCAACGGTGCGTCTTAAGAAGCACCGTTGGAAATTTCCTTTAGGCCAAAAAAAAGTCTCCGGTTTCTGGTATGCGCGCGTGCGTCGCCGTAGCCATGCGCGTCGGCAAAATGAAAAGGGTTTTTTTTTCAATGAAAGATGATGTCTCAAAACCGCCAAACTCACTGGTTTGACTGGAATCCTGCTGCTGCACAATTTTAACGTGTTTTTAGATGAGGTTATGATCGAGAATAAGCTTTATGTGGCCTCTCTGGTCTCCCATAATATCTGCACTTAGTTTAGTCGGGCACCATTTGCAGTCATCAGCCGACATTTGAAGCAAAAAAAACAGGTAAAAAATTTTTTAAAAAAGCCGCGTCGCCGCACCACTTTTTGGGCAAGCTCCATACCAGAAACTGGAGACCTTTTTGGGGGGGGCATTAGTAGTTCGTTTTTTTATTCGGCGAAGTACGCGCAAGCATTGACACGACGCACATGCACGCTAGGTTGCTATAATTCGTCGGATCAGTGTGCGACATCACGTAGCTACTACAATCGGCTAGTGAGAACTTGTCTCGGACGCTGAATTCAGGCCCGATTCAAAACATGATTCAGCAACCTTTGATTTGAAATTGAGATCCTAGAATGTTGTTTTTCTCGAAATATACAGCTGAAGCTGAGCTGAAACTTGAACAGGTTAGTTGTTCAGTATCCTTCAATAGATTTTGAACACTTTTGTTACTTCAAACGAACAAAATGCACAAATTACAAATGATGGACTATACATGTACCTTTAAAATGAAGTAGGACATAATTGCATTGAAATTTCAGCCCCTGAAAATCTTAACGTAGAACTGTGTGTGCGGCAAGGTGTGATTACTGTGTGTACTTTAGAGTAAATTACATGCCATTGTTTGAAATTTAACATTTATAAAGTGTGCTTTTCCCCCATACAGGGTGTTGAACTTTGCACATTTCATTATTCAGTTTGCTCGGTTAGGATACCATTATACATGTACATGTACATGTATGCACATGTGTTTTCTTTTTTGCAGCTGAGTTCTACATCTAGAATACTACAGATGTACAATGTAAAAAGTACAATGATTTGTTTTCAATTTCGGAGATGTTTTATAAAAATTTTGCAAAGAAAAGTTTAAAACGAACAGCATACCATTTCAATTGTTAGTCAAGGTTTAGCATTTTCTTTTGGTTTTCATTATTCTTAGATGAATTATTCAATTTTTTGTAGGATAGAGATCCAATACACATTATCCTCCACGGTATACCTGAGGACCACAAGTGCGGGCATAAATTGTAATAGTTGTCAAACTCTGTCACGTATCAAAATTTATGACCATTTTATGGCCATCCATCCTATGCCGAGGGTTTTAGCACACATCTTTTTCATATTAACAACCAATGGTGTTAAGAAGTTTCAAAACCTAAATGGCAAGTCTGTAGCATCAGATCCATCGGAGTTTGTAAACAATCTTCCTGCTAGCTCTGAACACAGTGACAAGTATAATCTTACCCTGTTGCCACGGTAACATTTGCTATTCAAGGTCATACCTAGCCGCCCCATTGGCTGGGGGGAGAGGAAATTGACATTATGCAGACATAATTCCCAATGTTACCCATTCATTTAGCACTGCCGTGACACATGACACTTGTACAACATATATTTTCCCACGACAGGCCAAAAACATTCTGATGCTGCAAACCCAAGTGCAGTTTTTTAATTAATCGGAGTAAACCATTTGTGAGACAGGGGTGTAGGATTGGTGAAAAATAGTGAATAATAGTTTTTTTATGTTTGTATGTTGTATTTGCAAAAGAAGTAATAATAGTGCCCAATGATATTGTGTGCATTTCATGTACATGTATGTGTGCACGTAGGTTACATTGGGGCTTGCATATATTGCAACGCATGCGCATGTACCGGTACTGCTGAATGCAAAAAATTTGCATAATAATGTATTCACCATGACAAAAATTGGGTCATAGTACACTGCGATACATGTACTTCATAAATTCAACATGTTCATACAACTATCTGTCTACCCACATGACATCTGTGACCCTGTTGATCTATTTAATATTTTTTTTTTGTAAATACCTTCAATGCCAGCTGTCACGTTTTTGACGAGTGTACAATGGATCAATCAGGCGAGCCTGGTATGAATATGAACAGGCGGAGATGACTCGCCATCTACGCGTGTTTATAATAATCTCCTTCCCCTTCAGTTCACACTGGGGCAGTGTAGTTGGTGCATGTCTCACGGTTGCACACATGGGTAGGGCTCGGATGATAAGGCCGGAGATTGGAACAGATTACCATCCAGTGTCAGGGTAGCATTTACTGAGGGGAGATGACTGTAAGATCTGTGGATCCCTTTGGACTGCGTAGTTGACATTTGAGAGGATTCAACAGTGCTACGCTCAAGCAAGCAACACAACACAAACAGGTTTATTTATCTGTGTACATTGCGCAAGGACGTGCTCATGAAGACGTTCATCGACAGCAACTGCATCTCCAAGGATCATCCCTGTATCTGTCTGTCAAGGATGCCTTGAGTTTCGGAAACGACGCGAGGAAGGGTTGTTTTTTTTCTTCCGTGGGGGGAAGATGTTTTCTCCCGCGCACTCGATGCATCGGACGTTACTCCTGGAGGCCAAACGCAGGAAAGAAACGGGAAATAAGAAAGTGGCCGTCTACAAAGCTCCAGACCAAACAGGTATCACTCGCTGGTTAGCTGTATCAGTGATGCTTCTGAAGCAGATTAAGATCTTCTTTTTGCTCTGAAAAAGATTCAAAGCCATGATATGAAAATAACAAATTTAGGTTAATGAATGCATGATACCATCCTCCATGACGTGTACGTTTAGAGTAGGCTGATCGTTGATATTTATCCTGTTATTATTTAATATCTCTGTATTCTTGTCCACTGTGTATAATTCCTTCTAAAAATGCCAAAGTTATCAGCAAAGTTGAAGGATTCAGGATAATATTGTCTTGAAGGTATATACAATGTAGTATTTGACATGAAGGTTTTCTGTCGCATAGCATGTTTAGTCTTCGTGTAAATTATATGTTAAGGCGACATGGAACATTCTCCCTCATTTTGTAGTACATTGTACATGTACATTAGCATTTTGGGCAGTACTCACAAATGAAACATTACATTAACTGATTTTAAATATTTGAATACATAGTCTAAAGAAAATAGCATGGTGTTCTTCTGGAGTGACTTGTGGTACAGATATTGTCATTTTTAATTATTGAACAAAAGGACTGCTAGACGTACTACAGTGTATGTCAGGCCTCTTCATTTTTTTTTCATTTTTTTTTTTTTTTTTTTAGCATTAATTTCTTTCCGCCTTTACTACACTTATGTACACATGAGTATACCTAATATGTTAAGCTTGACTTGAGCACTATACCAGCGCAAAACTGATCAAATTCCAGTCATAGCAGATTTCACATCACTCTGATAATATGCCAAGTATTCCACGTATGCGGTTGTTTGCCTTTAACATCCTCCAGTCCACATCAAGAAAATTATGGCCTTGCACATGTACCATGACTTGACTTCACTGCGTATATATATACATTACAGTGTGTCCATGGCATTTGATTAAACCTGTAATTTCTAGAATGTTTACTTAGGTGCAGAGATAACAATCTTTTTCTCTCTTTTTTTGACATTGATAAAATAGCTGCCAGTAAAAATGCAGTTGCTACATTTGTATTTACACAGTTGTCCTTTTCGGCTTGTGCACACAATTTGGATGTATTTAGGTTATCATTGAATATCCAAGTTACAGTGCTAGGTGATTTGTGAATTATTCCGAAGTGCATGTATTGAATAATACAAGGACATGCTGATTTCAAAATTGTTACGCTCCACTTCAACGCTCCGCTTCAATTTAACAAATAATTGAAAACTTTTGAGATGTGAAAATTAATGGTAAAGCGGTTGAAGTCCACAAAAAAAGCACATGAGTGTGATGTAGGTTGAAAATTCAAGTAATAGAACATGTATGTACATGTACTTTCATGAAAGTACTGTGTGATTTGTAAATACCGCTGTACAATGCAAGGAAAGGCTCACTTCGAAATTTTCATGCTTCACTTAATTCAATTTGACAAATAATTGAAACCTTTTGAGATGTGAAAATTACTTGTACGTTGAAATTCACAAAAAAGCACGTTAAAAAGTGTGATGTATGCTCATTGGCGGATCCATGGGTGGCACCGCCCCCCCCCCAACTATTTTTTTTTTTATCCCAAGAGTGAAGACTCCTTTTTGTTTAAACTTAAAATGTTGCGTCTCCCTCGCAAGCTATCAGCAGCACATACCTTTTTAGTTTTAATATAACAAGGTGGAAATAGCACACCATATATACTTAATCCCCTTCCCCTTTTTGAAGAGAAAAAAATCCTCAAGCCCTCTGGCCCCTCCCCCCTCCCCCCAAAAAAATTTTGGTTTTGAATCCGCCTTTGTGTAGGTTATGAATGTAATGTGAGCTGTTCAGATCAGGTTGTAGTTTGCAATACCAGTACATGTGATTTTGGCTATTCAGTTATGGTGGTGGACAGCTTAATTGTAACAGATACATTTTCTTTGACCTAAAATTCAATCCCTCAGTGTGTGCATTCCTTTACAACATGGTGGAATGTTTACATGTAATCTAAAGATCAGCTGTCAAATCAATCCATCAGAAAGATTCCCATATCTGGCCATCACTTGTCACTCTGTACACAAACCCTATGAGACTGGTCTGAAAATGTCTACATGTAAGTGTTTTCTCAGTAAATACCTCAATATTATCCCTGCCAAATTTGACTTTTTAGGACATATTATCACTTTCTGATGGCTGATAGGTCACTGAAGGGAAACATTACTGATGGCCGGATATGGGAATCTTTCCCCATCAGAAAGATTCCATGCAGTCAACAGCCACTCGAGGCCCAACATTCTTAATCGATTCAGAATAGCTTTTCGGTTTTGGAAAGGAAACTTTCATATCTGAAAGTTGAGATAAAAAACACATGATTCCATATCTGATTGTACATTGTACTGTCGAATTTAAACAGCCAGGCCCAACATTCTTACTCGATTCAGAAAAGGCTGCATTGCAGTTTGGAAAGGAAAATTTCATATCTGAAAGTTGAGATAAAAATTTCCTGTCTGCGCATACTGTCTAATTAAACAACCACTCAAGGCGAAACATTCTATAAATTCTTCCCGAGTCAGAAAGGCCTGCATTTGGAAAGGAAACTTTAATATCCAAAGTTGAAGCCAGAAGGCTACTAATACTAAGAATTCAATTAGATGTTGTCTGCTCACAGTATTGCCTTATTCGACAGGGAATTTGCGGCCCCCTCCCTCTTGTAACAGATGGTATGTGGCATTCTCAAGCCATGCTCTATGAGTTTACCGTCTACCTTTCTACATCAATAAACCTAGCTGCTGGAATACAGTAGAGAAATGGAATCAGAAATCATTAATGTAACGGTGAGTTGTTGGGAAAGGATCTCGCATGATAAATGAAATTATAATTAGAATGAGGGAAGGGCTAAAAGCCCATATTGAATTTATCATCCTGATGCAGATTCCAACTAATGAATGTGCATGTGTGTGTATTTCTGAGTTTTCTAACTTTTTAAAATTATTCTACTTTTCTGAAATTCATGAATTCCATTACTTGGTACTTGGTTGGTTTCCTCCTGAAAACGTCCTCTTGGGATCTTGGCTAGGAGGTCTCGAGCCCATGAAGCATGACCGGCAAGATTGGTTCAAATACAGTATTAACTTTCCAACATTAAAATTTAATTCTGAAAGTTAAAGTCAAGAATATCCCCTTTTCTTGTCCCTTAGGATGGATAATGTTAGTTTTAGAAAAGGAAAACTCAGTAATTTTGGAAAAAATCTAATTGTCAGAATGATAAATTTTGTAATTGATGTAGTTGCCTAGTAGTAAAAGGTGAAAATTTATGGGCGGGGGGGGGGGGGGGGGATACCAAGAGAAAGAAGAAAAACTGGAAAATGCAAAAAGGCTCACTTCAAGGGAAATGAGTCATTGTTAAAAATAACCAGACGCTTCACAAGCTCTTGAATAAACTCGTCCCTACATGTGTCAGTGCAGATGTTTTTAAAAATCACCGTGTAACCTTTTAAAAATTAATATCACATTATCTGCCCCCATATTCGCCCCTAAAACAAATGCCAAACTGAACAACTTCTTCACAGAATCCCCCCCCCCCCCCTCAATTTGGAATAACAGCCGCAAAATGAGCCCATAATCCGATTGGGGATTCAGATGAAAGGGACCAGGGGCTGTAACCTGTGCAAAGTCACTTGCCGTGACGATAAGACGTCAAAGAACATCCCCCGGTCCCGCGACTACGTTTGGATCCCTCCCTTCGGCAAGTTGAGCAATTTGAAGCACTCTGGAGTTGATTAAAGAGATAATGCACTTATGGCGTCCTCACCCTTGAAATTCAGAACATTAAACTGATGATGACCTCTTGAAGAGCATGATCCTCTTGTACTGCCTAGCCTATTTGTTGACATTTGTTTTAAGCTCGTGTTAGTTGCTTGTAAAACCTAATGCATAAAATACCTGAGACAGTTTACCAATTCCTATAGGGCTCGCTTAATGACGGCCATGCATCTCTGTACGAGAACTGCAACTGTGTATTTTACGCAATCAAGCGCGCATTGCGCAGTGTAGAAAATGTTCCAAACACGCACGCTTGTTGCTCGAAATGTGTTCGAAATACGACGCAGCTGATGCGCGTTATGCAAGTTGACGCTCAAAATGCTGATGCACGTGGATGGTCTGTAGGAAATGACGTCATTTGAACGAGAACTATTGGTTGAGAGTCTGTTACGTGGGTGATTTTAAACCGCCGGTAAAACACAATTCGTTCTGCGTCACATCGTGCAGTATGCGCAACACGCCAATTTCCATGTAAGGAAATTTTTAGCAGTACGCGGCCGGAGACATGGCCGGAGGGGTGTTTCATAAACATGAAGTAAAATTGTTGAACAAAATTGCTGGAAATTTGTGATTTTTTGGGAATAAATACAGTGTATGTGCTGGGCGAAGTATGTTTAAAACCGGCTTCATCCCGGGCCATTATCCACGTCCAGGCCCCTACTCTGCCTGGTTTTAAACATGTACTTGTTTAAAACCAGCCAAGCATATATTTAGTAATAACCCTTATTATTTGTCAGACTCCGCCACTAGCGTTAAAGCTGGCTCATCCTTCCCACCAATGGGAATATACGAATGCAAATGCAAAGGAAGTTTGATGTCACAACATTTTGCAGCAAAAATTCACAGGAGTTGAAATGTGCCCTGCAAACTCTTGCAAATTCACAACACAAAACTTGACGTAACATGACAAATCATCATGTTAAAGGGAATGTACATCATTGGCTTATGCTTTAGTTTTCAGAAATGAACTATTTGAGGGGTTAGTATAATAGATCAAATTATTGTTACACTGACATGTTTGAAGTTTTGTTTTTGAAAATGCTGGAAAAACCAAGAAAAACAAAAACGTTCAAGTAGTCTGGTTCCCTGACTCCACTGAAGATGAAATGGATCAATTTACAGATGTCGGAAAATTGTACGCTAAGGGAACCAGTCTAGCTGACCTGCACCCATTCATGAACATAAAACCAATTAGCAAACAAAATTGGACTGAAAAAAAAAGGTAAAT